ACTAAAGTTATAATAAATTAGCCGCTTTTAAAGAGTATTAAGGATATATAAACGTTCTTTAGATTTATAGGGTTTTATTATAAATTTATTAGTAATTATATTAAAATAATAGTATTTTTAACGGACTTATTAAAGAAGGTAAAACTAGGATAATTAGAGCTATTAATACTAGCCGTAGAGTTATTTAAAAAGCTATTAGTAATATTTATTAACGTATTAATATTATAATATTTTAACCTTACCCTACTTATATAATTATAAATAAACGCTTTAGCTCTAGTTATTAGCTTAGTAATTATATAATTATTTAAAAATAATTAGTACTTAATTATTTATAAGTTAAAGAAATTAATAAATATAGAGAGCTATTATAATATAAAAAATACGGAGTTATTAGCTATTATAAACGTATTAAAAAACTAATAATACTATTTTACTTATAATTAAGATTAGGTCGTAGTATTTATAAATTATTTTAATTTATAGTTCTTAAATATAAAAAAGAGACTAAACGGGAAATAGCTACGTTAGTTAAATAAACTCGTAGCGTTTAATATTAAAATTAAGTTTAAGTTAAGTATAAAGAACTTAGTAAATAAATTATTATAAAAACTTAATTATAATAAAAATAATAATAATAACGGAGCAGAGGAGCTATTATTAAAAATGAAAAAAAGATTTTTATAATATTAAAAATATATAAGAGCTTTTTAAAGTTATAGTAATAAGGTATATAAGGACGAGTTATAAAAGTAGTTTTTAAATAAAAAAGATAATAAGTATTTTAAAAATAGAATTAGTAATAATATAAAGAAATAAATAAAAGAGGTTAAGAGGTCTAGTTTAAAAAAACTTTAAAGAGTATTTTAAAAAGTATAATAGGGCTATAAGCTTAGGGTATTAAAATTATAATATAATATTTAAAGAGCTATTTAAGCTTATTATTAAAACTATAAATTATAAACTACTCGTTTTATAAAACTTTAATATAATAAAAGTACTTAAAATAGTATTTAATAAAAAGGGGTTATTAATAATAAGTTAACTACGGGTTATTTAATAAGAGGACGCTTTTATAAAAAATAGGTAGTAAATTAAAAAGAACTAACGGCTTTATTTAATTAAAAAATAATAATAATAAAGCTAGGTATATAACCTAAGAAGGTTATTATATTATAATAACTATACTTACGTATTATTATATAAAGGGCTAAAAAGGGAGGTTATTAAAATATATTATAATATACTTATAATAGAATATTATAATATAAAGCGGATAATAGCGTTACTAAGACGTTATTATTATTAAAATAGAGTAAGTAGGGATATAAAAAGTTATATTAATATTTATATAGTATATTAGCAAACGAAGCCTTATTATTATAAGTTATATAGTTTATTATACTTCTTATTTATTTTAATTAGGCTATAATAAGAAATATTATTAGATTTTATTACGGGCTTATTTATATTAATTATACTAATTAAGAGGCGCTTTTATAACGTAGTATTTATTATAATAAACCGATTTATAAAATATAGCGTTTATATTATTACGAGGACGACCTTTATAGCTTAGGGATTCGTAGACCTCTTATTTATAAAAATTTTTATTAAGTTTAAAATACTTAAAGGGATCGTTTTTAATAAGGGGTCGTTATTTATAAATAAGTTTTAAACTTATTTTTATTATTTTTTAGTAATAAAGAGGCATCTTATTACTACGTTCTATTCGTAAATAAATAGTTAAATAAAATAATAAAACTAATATTTAGAATAGTACTTTTATTATTTTTATATTTAAAACTAATTAAATTAAGTATAGCGTTTTTACTTAGTTAAGTTTATGTATAATAATACTTAGTATTTAGTAATTTATAAAGCGCTTACTAAGGCCTTATTTAGGTTCTTATTTACGTATTTTATATCGATTTTAATAAGGACTTAAGATAGTATATAAAATATTTTAGTTAAGGAGCGTATAGTTTAATTATAAACTAACTAAGAAGCTTTATAACTGTTTATATAAAAAATATATAAAATATATAAGTAATAAATTAATAAAACTAAAATAGATATATTATATAAAATAGGTAATTAAGTATTATTATTAAAAAAGAATATTAAAAAGTAGCGTCCTAACTAAAAGTTAGTTAATAAGTATTTAAGCTTATTTAAAATTAAATTAATAATTAAAATAGCGGGGGTTATTTATTAACTAAACGTATTAATATAATATAAAATATATAATATATTTTATATATCTTTACTTAAGCCGTATTAATGTTATAAAAAAGCCCTTTAGAAGCCCTTATTTATTAAAAATATAAATAGGGAGCTATTTTATAAAATAAAAAATATTATATAATATAGAGGGCTAAAGAGGAGGCGATAATACTTAATTTAGTAAAAGGGATATAGTAATAATAAAGATATATAAGAGCTAGTTAATTATATTAAAGACGTAGCGTTAATTAGTATATATAAAAAACGAGTTTTAATTAAATAGCGCGCCCTAGTTCTTAAAGAACTTAATAATATAACGAACTAGTTATTAATAATAAAAAAAGGGGGTTATATAGCTATAACTAAGTAATATAAACGCGCTAATTACTAACTATTTTTTTAATTTTTATAATATATAAAAAAACTATTTTTATTTATAAAAAGACTACCCTTATATATAAAAGGGCCGTCTTAGCTATTATCCTAAGGGTTATTATAAAAAAAATAATTTCCTTATTATTAACGAATTTATAAATAATTAGTTATAAATATAGAGTATAAGCGGGGTAATTATATACTAATTAGAATATTATTAGAATAATATACTTTATTATAAATAGTATAAAATAATATAATTATAGTATTATTATAGGACGAAAACGTAGTATAAGAGGAGCTTATAATTACTTTATTATTGTTATTATTAATAATAGGGGTTAAGTAGGCCTCTTTATTAGTATACTTAAGTACCCTTTATATATTATTAATAATAATTTAATAAGTTTATTAAAGTTATAAAGTAATATTAATAACCTAAATAGTAATAATAATAAAGTAATAATAAAGTAATAAATTTCTAAATTATAAACGTCGCTATTTAAAGTAAGTACGGTATTTTAAAAAGTTCGTATTATAAATTCTATAAACTTAAGGACCTAAGACGTTATTAATATAATATTTAAAAAAAGCGATAAAGTAATAACAATACTAAGTACTTATCGTATTTTTATAAAAATAGTTTTATATAATATACTTTAGATAACGTACGCTAAATTTTAAAAAAATATTAAATAAAAGAGCGAACTAGGGGTTATAAATTACTAACTTAACTAATTATAATACTTAGTTTTTAAATTAAGTACTTTATATATAATATAAGCGGGGTAGGGGAGTAGGCGTACTTAGCCGACCCCGATTTTCTTAGTATTTACTTTTTTTTTTCTAATAAGAGTTTATAATAGTTAATATAAATAGTATATAAATAGTAATATATATACGAAGTTAAGGTAAATAAAAGGGATATTAAGCTTTTTAAATAGATTATTATTATTATTATTACTAAGTATATCCGTAGTATTAATAACCGTTTTATTATTAATAATAGTAATATTATAATTAAGGGCTATGTTTATATTAAAATAAGTTAATAATAATTATAAAACGATTTTAAAAAAGACTTATTTAAATACGGGAAGTACATAAGAATAGGGATTTAAGAAATATTCGTTAGTTATAATATTTATGTAACGAGGGAGTAGTATAAACGTTAATAAAAATAAGAAATTATATATTAAAAGGATAATTATAAATAAAAAAAAGAAAAAGAATTCGGAATTATAATAATTTAAAAAGGGGTTAATATTAGCGAATAAAAATAGGGTAACGACTACTTAAGTATTAATAATCGTAAGGACGGCTTATAAATAAGAGCGACTTAAGTATAAAATTATAAAGTTATTATTTAAAATAAGGGGTTTATATTCGGGTTAATAATTACTATTTATACTTACCTTCGTACTATATATTTAAGAACCTCTTAAGTAAAAGATTAATATAGTATATACGAACTATAAATAAGTTTTAAAATAAAGCTTAAGAGAGAGAGTATTTTATTAAGCTTCGCTAATTAAGCCTCGTTAATTAAAAAATAGTTTAAGAAGTATAAAAAGGGGGATTAAATAATAAAAAAATAGTTTAAGTATATATAGAGTATTAATAATATACCTTAAGGAAAGGGTAGATTTTAATAATTTATTTTTTAGACCTTAATAGTAGTTAGCCCCTATAAGCTTTTTCCCTATATTATATACTTATTAATATATTTATATAGATTACTAAGAGAGGTCGTATAATAGTACGGCTATTCTTTTGAATTAGTTACGTAAAAGCATCCTCTAATAAGGCCTTTAGCGTTCCCCCTCAGCTTTCTTCTACCGGACGTCGAACTCGTTATAGAAAGGCCATGTTGATGACATTTTCGTCTTGCCAGAAATCCCTGCGGAAAGAGCTCCTTTGAAAAGCCCTCGGTCGTTACCAGACCCTCAGGCCCGTTATCCCATCAGGCCGTAAGGCCGTCAGCCCGTTAGAGCGCTGGACGCTTGTCACGGGCCCATGGTCGAACGAACCCCTGAGGAGGCCACTGGCCCGGCTATTATCACGTAATAAGGATAGTAATCGCACCTCACGAAGTGCCCGTTACGTGCTAAATTACGTGTCTATCTTAGATATCGTATATATAGACCTTTTCTTTTTATCTATTTCTACTTTAATAGTTAAGCTACTTTTATTATACTCCGTATACTTATTATTATATACTATAACTCGTAATAATTATAAGCCTAGCTCCTATTTACTATTATTATAATAGTTAAAGTACCGTATTATTTATAAATTATATATTTAAAAAGTTAAAAACAGCCGTTTAAGTCTCTATATAAGTAGGTTTTTCTAGTTAATCTACTACTTACGGGGCTAAGGCGTAGTATAGATACTAGGTTTTTCTAACTAGTTTACTACTTACGGGGTTAAGGCGTAGTATAGACGCCTATTATACGGATAATAGCTCTAGGCGTCTGGGGGGTGTGTCACGAGATATGGATGTGGTTAATGCTGCCCACATTGAGTGGGCCCGCTTTTTGTGACAGCTATCGATGTCGACGAGGTTTAGAATAGGCTGCAGGATGTAGCGCCGCCCCCCAGAGCGTCGCCTCTAACAAATGCAGTGCCGAGACCGCGGTGTACAAGCCCGCAAAGGCTGCTGAGACCAAGGTCGAGGAGTCCGAGGCCACTGCGAAGGAAGTTGCTGAGGAGGACATCACCTCTAACTCCACCGCCGAGATCCATCAGTTAAACATATCTCCAAAATCCACCACCAGGTCTCTTCTAGAGCAGCCGTACGGAACGAAAGCTCTGCGCACCAACTCCCTCCTTCCATACTATATTCGCAATCGAATACAATTATTGGACATCGTGCCGGCCGCCGCCAAAGCTTCTCGGGGGCGCCACAATATGCTCGGTTCTCTCAGCCGCCCTTGGGTCAAACTCAGGCCGTGCCAGTCCTGAACCAGTCTCTCGCCGAACCTTTTCCTTTCCAAGCGAGCTTTGAGCCTCACTTCGCCGACTCGCCAAATATTCAGCCGACACGATCACCCAGTATAGCTAGAAAGTCACCTACGATATATATACCCTACCCTGCCGACGTGGGCATCAGCAACAACCGTACACTATGACAGAATCTTTGCAGTGGCAGCGACGCCAACGTGATTCGCACAAGCCGGGTAAACGTTGGCCCAATGGCCAGATTCGATCAGGTAAGCCCATATCACCAGGCAGCCAAAATGTACGAGGCTGGTTTAGGGGACCTTGGAGAACATGATCCCTCACTTGGATTGCGAGATTCGAGGAGGGTCTTGAGACTCGTGGATTATCTATTGAAGATGATCAAGAAGAAGTTAGGTTCCCCACGTCAGAATGTGTCAATAGGTGTACGACACAGGGAAGAAGCTCACAGAGGCCAACTGCTGTTGGGGTCTAGAAGATGAATTACTGGAATCTGCCCCTCCCTCGAGGTGTACTCTCAGCGTTCTATATATACCTGAGCTGCTCCTTTGTTGCTTGGTCCTCCTCTTAATGCCCCTTAGGCTATCCCTTATCCGGCGAGGCCTGACAGAATGAAGCGAGTCTTCCTCTCAAACTCAGAACTTGGATGTCTTCCTGATCCATGGCCAACGAAAATGGCTCCAGACCGATCCGAGGAAGACGGAAATTCCAACTCCGAGATCATACGAACACATGTAGAGAAGTTTCAGATACCATCAGACCAGGGTATTCCGTCCTACGTTTCCATAGAGCTTTTGGTCCGCGTTGTTTCACAGAATTGTAGCATTGGACAACCTGACAAGGTCGACAGCGATGCTGTCGTTTTCGGTAATATAATACTCAAGATTCCGACATCCCCTACATTCAAATGATGCCATTCTGACACGTTTGTAAAGGAATCATTCAGTCGTAACAGAAGCTGGTCACAGCCAAACCAATCAAGAGAGGCTCGAGTGACTACATCCCGATTCCTGCCGGCATCTTTCTCCGCTTGAGACCCCATGGAAAGAATTGCCAAGAAGTTGTTGTTTCCATCAAATGAGAACCTTCAGAAAGACCAGCAACTGGACACTGACGGGAAGATGACTCGCAACACAAGCACCGATAGCTTCCCGGGGCAAGATTCGTCTCAAAGAAGTCAACTACACCTTCTGGAAGTATCAAATTGGAGACAGACAAGAGACAATAACAGCGACGAGAAGATCCCCGGAGCTGAATGGGTCAACGTTTGCCAGACGTACGCAACAAGATATCATTCCTGTCAAGACTCAACTCAAACATGAAGTGCTTCTCACTCAGTCTCGGTCTATCATTGTGCAGAGCTGGGCATAGGATTGAATTTCCTGAGCCTCTCAAAGGGTTTCCAGGTGACAACGCGCTGTTTACGGTGCTACCACTTGTTCCACCATGCTCAGTGCAAGATGCCAAGCGATGGCGAAGTAGATGATATAGAGCGGCAGAAGTGGCACAACTGGACGGCTAGCACCTATGCGGAGTGTCTGGTGCATCTGCAGTTTTCCAAGTTGAAGGAGTCAGTGATAGGGAAGCGTTGAACATGACTGGAGCCATGAGATGAGCTGTTTCGGGTTAATGTGTTCAGTTCATTACTGATTCCACATAATAGGGCATGAGAAGAAGACGGAGACATATGCCGAGATCACTGGCTGCTGAAGAGGGTCTGGTGAGTTGACCCAAGTGAAGAACTGTCAATTACGGGAGCTACAACGAAACAATCTCCCCGCGAATGCCCCTCGCGTCGAAAGAAAGCTAGAGACGATTGAACTGCTATTGAATCGTAGCTAGAATGGTCTGTTCCAATCAAGCTTCCGTCAGGTGGCCTCGCTCTCGCTTTTGGCCCATCCGTATTGATGTATCTGCCGATAAAGTGACTGAAGGGGCCGGAGGGAGCGTCATTGGGCCCAGTCGATGTCATTTGTTGACATGCCGAAACCCGAATACTTTATATTTGTCGAGGAGCTCCGAAGGCGAGGGCGAGTTAAAGATGTTTCTACGTTGTCTCTATTTTCTCTCTCTTCTTCTTCTTCTCGTTGTCAGTTTCCGAACGGCTCTCTCCATCTGACCTTCAGTCTCCAGACTGCTCTATCCTCCTATTATCTTACCTATTCACCCACGGTCTAGGTTTACCAACTCTCTTGCTTGCATTGAACAAATCGATCTTCGGCTAATCATTCAATTCTACTAGATCCAGAACGGGTTGAGTTCGATTCATTGGTTTTCTCGCACGTGTCTCTTCGCCTACTTCAATGGATAAGAAACCCGCTGCATAGCGAGGCACTGAGACATGAGAAGACCTGCAACTGCACATTGCTGCAGAAACACTTTGGGAGGAGTCCGTTCACAAACATACTTTCACGGTGCAATTTCATCTGGCAGGGCTCTGCCAATCGCAACTCCGCGACAGACATATGTCATTAATGTCATCAGAATCCTTTACCCGAATTCAATCCCATATTTTACTTCCCCCTACCACCTCAGCTGAACATCAATAACGCCGCCTGGCAAAACCACATCTAGGACGTTCACGGTGAAGGCTTTCAAGGTAGTTCTCTTGATCCTGATCTTGGCTTGCCCGCATATTGTAGTCTCAGATCAGTTGTTCCACATGTAAGACCATTACATATACTTAATGACAGCTGAAAGAGCTCCTTCGACATGGGACTTGGCACACAGCAATGCTACTGTTGACGTTGGATGCTGTCGTTGCGACTGTCACGTCAGATTAGTCACCAATACTTCACTCGGCGAATTCTCGGGAACTTGCCTTGCTCTCAATGGACCGGGGACCTGACCCACACACACTGGACTTCAGACAGACAGAACACAACAGAGACTGGACTGGCTGTACAGACCACTCATGTGTTTGGCAGGTGCGGTCCCTTCGCAGCTGATGTCAATGCTGCTGGTCGACATGGAACTTGATAGTAGCATTGTTGCTGTTAAATGAGCATTGCTCCTTCCACTCGTCAATTGCTGGCGACTGCTGCTAGTCGTTGGCTGGGTCGCAAAGTCACTCCCTCCTGCCTTTCCAACAACAAGCTCTTTCCTGTCCTCTCACTGTTGCCAATATCGACGATGCACCTTCCTTTTGCCCACTAAAAGATCTTTCCAGAGCTCAGCGCGACTTCCCAGTTCGAAGATTACCTAGGTCGCCGTGTAGTCGTCTCGACCTCCCTTCCTTCCTCAGTCTACCTCACCTAACTTTGCGTCACTCTGGCAAACATGGCTTCCTCCCCATCAACCGGGCGTTCCCTGATGGCATTCCTCGCAGTTAATGTGCTTGTTTGACGGCGCTGTTCTCACTTGCCCCGCTATTGATGATTATCGTCTACCTCTTTCTTGATGGGTGTGGCCCTAAGCGGCGCCGGCCATCGTCTTTCCATCAGCGATACCTCGCTACCATACTATACCCATACAGAAGCTACCTCACGATGCCCCCGCCTTCCCTCCCTCAAAAGGTAACAACAACATCGCACAGATACCCTCCCGAGAGATTCGCTAAATTACATGGGTGGTGGGCATTGACTGTGCTTAGAAAATGGACCGGAGGAACTGGCCCGGACGGACTCGCCAGCGAGAGGCCAGGAATTCAACAGCAGCTGCTGGTATACACGTCAGCACAGCAACCGTACGGATGGCAAGCTTCCCTTGTTCCATATTCCGTCCACACCACAACCATGCGGTGCTACCGAATCGACTTTTGAGACCGTTTCACAACCACTTCACACCAGCCTCCACACTCCAAGGACATCTCGCTGACGCTCGACATCTCCGACTACATACCCGTCAGCTCCGCCACGTCCCCCTCAACCTCATGACGCGATGTCTGGGGTCCCTCTACCCGCATCGCAGCCTCAATAGAGTGGTGGTTGTTGCTGTGTGTGGAGGTGGAATGAAGAGGAAGTGGGTGAAGCTCACGGTATCTTCCGAGGTGGTTCTCCAGAGGCTGTTTGTAAGTAGAAGAGCCGTTCATGTGACCCAGACCGCCTTCCAAGCCCACCTTTTCCGCTGAATGTCGAGAATCCAACAACAGCTGGGCATCGTTCATTTTTCTTTTGACAAGTTCTGCGGCTCTCATCACCCACCCTTGGCAAGACATCGAGTCTCAATTGGATCTATGGGAATCTTGTTGATCAGGCTCGGTCTACTTCTACGTCCGATGCCGGTACAAATGTCACGAAGTCACTATGGCGCCACCTTCGCTCGATTCCACTTGTCCTCCTAACTTCCCCCCTCGAATCGGCGCTCTCGCTTCCGCCTGTCGCCTATCTCACGCTGATAGTAACGAGCGCAGTACCAGTAGACTTGCACAGACTGATTTGTCTCCTAGCGCGCGCGTCGCTGAGTCCTTGCAACCTTCGCTAAAGAAGCATATCGTCACAACAGCGGGCTCGAACGCCTCAGTTGCTGAAGCTTTAGGCAGTGGGCCCAGGGAACGGTAGGTCTTCCAGACTGGCGTTGCAACACTAGAGAACCAATCTCCTCGAGAGGCAGAGCACCTAACATTATGTAGATGATTACCGCCTCGATTTGTCAATCAAAAGTCTTCTCGGAAGTTGTTCGAGGCTGCAAGATGTGCCCAGACGCCCAGGAAGCCGGCAGTACGGCAGGCGGCGACAGAATCTAGAGTCGGAGAGCTGGTACAGATGATATCGACCATTCTTGGATCTTCCTGCCCAACCTCTCCAACGGCGTCCTTTCATCAGCGCATCTGGACTAAAGCGAATGCGATCATTGAGCGGAACAGTAATTTCGAATCAGTGAAAGAGAGGTTAGGAGCCGCAAGCTTGCGTCGCGAAAGAGTGGACGGGACCGACTGCCGCTGCTTCACGTGACCTAAGGAGCTGCTGTTGTACCACCGGCATGGCGCGCAAACTTCAAGCCAGTTGATTGCAATGGGTAGTGAGTTGCTCCCAGCCCTGGTGACACGTTTCTAGGCACCACTTCTGATGTTGGCGAATAGTTCCAGGTCTCGAGATAACGTCAAATTAGGAGTCCGCCGCAATCGACGTTACAATACCGCCCAAGTATGCCAAACACGCTGCTACTGCGGCCGTGGGATGGAAAGGTCGGCTTCGCAGCTAGGATCGTCGTGGCGGTCGTGCTTGTCACAACCCCGGCCAAGGGTGCCTGAGCCTCGCAAGATCAAGTGCCGCAACTACGACGAGGGTCATCTCTCCAAGGATTGCGAGAAGCCCGATGGCAGTAAGTTGCCCAGCCGGCTTCATTGACTTTTAGACACTGACACATACTCGTCAACAGTTACCCGCATTAAGTGCAACAGCTGCGCTCTAGAGCTCCGAAGACGTCCGGCGCAACCCTCCTCCCAATCCCTCCTGTGGCGACGATGCTTGCGACAATTACCTCCGATTAACCTTCCTGACGGAAGCACTATTTCCGATCTCCCGCCGCCGCCACGGTCAGACGTCGAGACATGTACAGGGAGGGCGAACCCACAACCGACATTCAATTGCTTGACCAGATATGTGGGTGATATCGTTACTGACCGAGGATCTCTTCGGATCTTTGTGAGGATTCGATGATGAAAGAGCTGATGGAGAAAGATGGCAATTTACTGGTAATTGGACTATACGAAGGACGCGAGCGTCTCCTGCGCTTGTCGCCTTCTGAGCCATGTGGTACTTTTTGGCAGCCGAGACGATCTCTGCTCAGGCTCTTTCAGTGTTGTATGGTTGGGAGGCTAGGTGGGCTTGCGGCATGACGTACATCTTCCAGCCTGGCAAGGGTCCCTCTGCATCTAGAAATCAATGCACAATAGTTTGAACAGCTGACCATTTGTCGACACCACCCATCCCTCAGAACATTGTCGTGACGATAACCTCTGTAGGAGATGCATTGGGCTTGCGTCTAGTGTCCCTTCCAGTGCCCGCTCTGACCGGCCATACATCCCATCATCAAGACGCAATGCTTTCGAATAGTTAGGCGCGCGAGCACGGCACGTATCCGGTGCGAGGACGTGGTCATCTGCACGAATTCATTCGAGTGATACATGTACTACCTACTGAAAGAGAGTCAATCAACACCTCGGCCCTCGCTGTGCTTTCCCTTTCCATGATGATTAGCTGGTGAAGGTGGAGGCGCTCGCATCTGGGACGGGTGCAACCGTCATGCCGACACGTGTGCCCATGGCAGCGGCGGAGGAATAGTCTACAATGTTCCTTTCTGCCTTGTAGCGCAGCGCTTCAGATGCAAGGATCTTTCTTGGTTTGGGGGCCTCGTGGTGCCGCTTGGAAAACCTATCATTTCTGCTGAGGCAAACTTGGCAAAGCCAGTGCGGGGACGTGACTGTGCCGAGAGCAAGTGATTGTACAAATTGCATCGGTAACCTGATTGAAGAGTCTGTCACATGTGCATTATCAGGCCAGTAGTAGGTAGCAAACATGCCGCGCGCTTCGATGGCAGGCAGCTCATCGCTTTCATCAAATGGATCGGGCTTGAATGCTGTGACTCGATAAAGAAGCACGGGAGCACATGGGATGGATGGGGGCGCAATACGCCACACAAGGTGGGCCGCCTCTGTGGCGCTCTCAAGCCACCGTGCCTTAGCGGGCGCAGCAAGCTCGTCGCAAGGCGCTATGGAAATCTCACCAACCTACCCATCATTCGGGATGGTAGGACCAGAATTGGCTCACTTTTTGTTCTCTGGTCTGGACCGCGGGCTAAGATCGATCACAGCGTTCACAAACAGCCACGGTCATTCGAACTCGCAGTCTTTTCGTCACACCCACTAAGCGCCTCTCAACCCCGAGGTGGCCCGCTGCCATCTGCCATCGTATGCCCGACTGTCGTGTAGCGTAGCCTATCGTGGGCTGGTCTTTGCGACCAGAGCGAGGCCCTGGCCCGAGTTTGTTAGAGGCACATCCAGAGTGTCGGATTGGAAGTGTCATTCAACCCTCAACCAGACACCAATTGTCTCTCTAGCCTACGCTTGGAATCTCCCTGTTACGTCATCACGCAGAATCAAGCAATGGACAGCAATTGTCCCTTCATCACCCACGAACCGAACGGTTTGAACCAGCTATCCTGTGGCAGGGATACCAACAGCCCTGGCCGGAATTTGCTCAACACCATGCAGAGTGCAACCACTCAGGAGCCTCGTCTGAGCTTCTGGAACCCGAACCCTGGATATCTGATTGTTGCGGCACAGCCAGGGTGAAAGTATGATGGGCAATTTTGAGCCAAACAGTGATTAGGCGGATAGTGCACTCCACCGTGGTTCCAGTCTCAATAGACATTCTCAGTTAAGAGATTGCCTGCTGGCTTCCTTTCCACTTCCTTCATAATGAGACGGTGTTGTGCCATGCCCCCACTTCGTATCTATCAACGCAGCCATGCTCAGATCGGTCCCTTTGATTGTTGTCATCCAAATCGCATAGATCTTAGTATGTTTTCCCCTTTGATACGACAGCTTGAAGTAACCACTGGTACATCTAAAGTCTGGAGGGAGAACAATAAAGCGCTGTGCAAATAGATTCCCCTCTCCAGTCTAGCACGTTCATTTCTTCGGGCTTCAACATACGCTTAAAGCGGATCATGTTATTGTCAGGGTGTCTTGATGGGTAAGTCGAGGTAGACAAGTGCCTATGAACGCCTCAGTGGAGGTCAGAACCGAGGATTCGATGATGTGTCAACATTTACGGCGTGACCTCTCCTGCCTGGCTTGTCTCATCTCTGGCCTATTTCAAAACAGGCACCGATAACGTAGCGCCCGTTCTGCGGGGTTCCTCCAGCGCATCTACTTGCGTCATAATCTATGCGGATGGTGGAATGATGTGGCGAACAATGACACTCGAGTATCTGTTCTTCAACCCAGCCAGGCTTCTCCTCGCTTGCCTGTATGCTGCACACAATCTTTCATGACTTTCGTGACCATCGAACAAGGTACTGAGATCCTAGATACTGAAATAATCAGAGGAGAGGTTGATCTATTGGCGGTGAGGTCAAGGCATGTACTCTTATATTCCGCGAAAGAAACGCATCGTTGAATTTTCTTGAGAGTCTATTCGGGGCCCAGGTTGCACTAGAGCATGCTACACCCCTGGGACGATGCCAATACAGAAACCGATGCGAGAGCGATGATCATTACTTCCATCTTGAACTCATGCCACGCTCTTTGTCCACATCCCTCGTTGCAGAACCCACATCCCTCGTTGCAGAATGTGCCTCATGGGAGCCTCTAGGGGGTCAGGCAACCTTGTAGGAATGGCCGAAGTCTGTGGAAGAATACATCGGGCCTATGCCTTTTGTGTATCTTCCCCAAGATGTCTTGAAGCTTGTCGATATGGTCCATAAGACTCTTCAACAGTGTTTCCGCCGCTGTTCAGGCCTTTTCTTATAGATGCAAAAGATATACGGTAGTAGCGTTTATGATAAGGCCCTTTCGTAATTTCATGGCTTTGTACACCAAGATTCAAGGCTTGTCTTCAAGCTACATACCACTAGGCTCACCACTTTGGCAGTCTAACAATGTGAGGGCAGCGCAAGTCGTAGCTGGAGGTATTTTCAACATGCGCGGAAGCTGAGAGTTATGGGAGAGGCATGAATCTATAGGTTTAGAATGGGACGGTCACGACTTTGGAGAAACAGTGTATGAAGCCAGGAGGTCATGTACATCGAACATCATACAAGACCGTAGGCTCAAACTGGCGGGAGCAAAACTGAGACAGCAAGGGAAAGCTTGAGTTCGAAGAAAATGACTGTACGCCAGCGCGAGGTTAATCCTCGATAGAAGTTTCCACGCAGGTTACAATGCACGTATATATTAAGAACTAGGATGGCAATCCATGGTGAAACTTACGGGATTGTTCTATTCCAAGATACGGTTTCATCTAGTCTCTGGGAAGGGAGGGGGGAGGCACTAGAGGGCTCACACAGTACGTTTGCATCGTATGTATTAATAATCCTGCTTCTTTGATCTCAAGCTATCACTTCACTTGTAATATTGTCTTAAGAGTCAGAGGAAATCTACTTCAGGATCTTGCAGAAATGTGTAAGGTAGGATACAGTATCTTGCATATATTGCTTCGTCTTTGGCAAATTTCTCAGAACAACGTCGCGGTTCCCGACTTTTGAAAAGTGTACTTTGGTAATGACAGTTGGACTCGAGGAGGCAGCCGAGGGATTTTCGTCCCCTTTCTTATACTTTGGCTTCCCAAAGTGAGAGACGCCGTCAATCATGATGCTGAAAAATGTCAGGGATTCTCTTAGTGTAATTAGGGTCGAAGTCTGTCCCGCCACAAGAATTAAGTCACCATTTGCAAGTTCCGACTTGATCCTCGCCTTTGCCGTATGTGTGTCCAATCATCTGGTCCGATGTGGTTGCCGCATATGTGCAGGGAGTGTCCCCTGTCTTCATCTGTTGATCCAGAAGGAGGGACAAGAGAAGAGAGGAACGAATAGAACAAGGAAACAAGGAATTGCCTGACCCAGTATCCAAAACCCTAACTGGACCGGGATTCGCTACCAAACTTGAGCTTGAGCGTTGCTATGATCATGCAAGTAAAAAAATATCTGGTATGCAGGCATAGTAAGAGCTACGTCAAACAGAGAGACATATCGTACAGGACCAATGAGTCTGTGTTTGAACATCACCTGAGCGATGATGAGCAGGGCGTCAAGGACGATTTCTGCAACGATATTGACCAGTTTGGTATTACATGAGTACTTGGGATCGTGAAGCAATCGGTCCTCTCTGGCCCGGATGATTGTATTGATCTCGTCATCGTTGACATAGCCAGCTTTGTCCGTACATCTGCCCTTGTTCGTATTTGGCTCGAGACGAGTGCTGGTAAATTCGCACATTGGCCCCTAACAGCTGTCTGCTATCATTCAGCAAGATCAGCCGTAGCTTACGCGGCAAGAAAGATTTCCTCGATGAGTTTCTACAATGCGAGCAAGGATCCGACTGTCTAGTCCCGATGAGTTCTCCTCGATCTTAGAGCAGAATCGTTAATGATGCTTTTGTTGGCCGAATGACGCGGTGAGATACCGTTGGTTCCCATGGTGGCAAAACTTGAGGTAAGTCCATGAAAAATATACAAATAGGAGTGAAAACGCACCTGGATAGATTAAATCAATGTTGCGGCATTCTATGTAGACCAAAGTTTGGGCATAGAATGCAATTCAACCTGCTTGGCACTCAAATACGACAACAAAGGCTCTGTTTCCCAGCGGCCTTATCCCTTATCCAGCAAAATCAAATAAAAGAGGGGAACAGAACTATCTGAATGTAAGAATTGAGTGTGTTATTGTTTGATACATACATGTACTTGTACCACACAACTTCCACCATAACCAACTCTTGAGACACATTCGAAGCGAGTGACTAGTCAGGGCCATCAAGGTACCCTCAACACACAAAATTGAAATCAGAAAGATAGGGATAGAACTTTCGGCCGTTGAGGGTCTGAAGGTTGATCTCCTAGGAGTTCGAATGGAAGAAAGCGACACCACCTCAGCGAAACTCATTCAAAGATGAAGAATGAGAGTGGGAACATCTCAGCCATGACCATAAATCTTCTAATACCGCGAGGCCAAATGCGTTAGTGAATACCTCTGCTCATAAATATGCTTCGTTCATTGGGTACAGGCCATCCGAGTTTGAATCCCAGGACTTTCGTCCTTCGGGTGAGCGCACCCATGTGCTCTCCCGGGATGTCAAGGTTGCCTCAATGGTGGCCTGCCAAGTACGCTCGTCTTCACTCTCATAGTTGACAGGATTGTTCCTCACCTTTGCGGGCGTGTTGGACTCTTCAAAGTCACCAATGATATCCAAGATCGACTTCTGAGGTCTGACCATATGACGTTGCTTGGACAAGCGGTCGTTGCGGCCAGTATCTTGCTGAGCCTCCTGAGAACTACTTGACTTGAGCGAGCCATCGAGCTTGTTGACAGCCGCCTTAGCGAGCTGGGAGAGGGCTTCGCGGGCGGCTGTCTTTGCAATGTCGATAACAGTGGGCGCCATTCTCTGAACGCTATCCTTAATCGCATCAAAAAGTCCCTCCTCATTGCCTTCAGACTTAACGATGCGAAGACTATCCAAGTCTTTCTTCGGCAGTGCCATAAGCGTTTCGAGAGTAGCCTCAGCAGCGATGGCACGTCTGTAGACCAGACGAACATTGGTATCCCTCGAGTCGGCATTCAGGTCTTCGATGATACTCTCTGAGCCCCCGCTGAGGCTCTTGACAACGCTATGGATCGCATCAACTGCGAAAGTTTTGAGAATAGGCTTGGCAAACTGAAAGCCTTTGACGAGGACTGGTCCAAGGGAGGTGAGAAGACCTTCTTCTCCAGTGACTGGATACGTAGGCTTCATGAGATCCCTGAAGAAAGCTGACTCCTCATCCTCTCGCGAGTACGAACGTGAGTGATCAAGGTGAAGCTTTTGGCGGTGAAGAGGGACCCTGGCCGTCTCTTGAGGCCCGGCCTCCTTCTCCCGCTGAAGCCTCGATATCTCATCAGATGCGAAGTAAAGGGCGCTCTCGGTGAGATAGGGCTTGGTGATCCTGGCAATTTCATTCAAATTGGGCTTGAATGCGTCGTCTTTGTGAGCGATAGTGGCGAGAAGTTGGCGGCTTTGAGGAGTTTCTTCAAGCTTGAGGAGAACTTGAAACGAGGCCTCTGCGAGTATGGCTCTTTCGGCAGCACCTGCTTTGAGAATTTCGTCGACGTCGCGAGATAGATCTCCAGTTCCTCGGATGATTGCACTCTCGGATCCTCCAATTGCTGAGAGAGCAGTCCCAGCGACAATGCCAGCTACTGCTCCAGCAGGTCCAAAGAAGGGACCAACAGTGGAGACAACTGGCCCAGCAATCTTGGCAAGGACTTTGAAGAAGCCTTCTTCATCTCCAAAGGTAGAGGAGTCACCGTGTCCTTTGCGCTCGACGTGTCCGTTGCGTCTGTCCTTGTCGATATGCCCGTTCAACTCCTTGTGTCCCTTGAGATAGGTGTGTCCATTGCCGTTGGCTCGCGTCTTGTTGTTGCCATTGTCATCGAAGCGCTCGCCCACTTCCTCAGATTCGGTTCTCTCCGTATTTCCATTCCTGTCGTATTCCCCTTTGGCAACTTTCTCATAACGACGATGCTAATGCTTAAAGGTTCGCTCAGTAGCGCCAGTACGGACGATCTTGATGCCCTGATGCGCATGAGGGAATGAGGGAGATTGGAAGAGAACGATAAAGTTATCGTAGTCGACTCCGTAGCGACCTCCTATAGAGTTTCCGGAATTTTGCGTGCCTGGTCCAAAACCATAGCAATGAGTGCCGATTGCAATGTACATTGAACCGCCCTCGACGACTTTCAGAACCGGTCCTCCAGATTGGCCTGCGTTCGAGATTGAATCAGAATAATGATTCCTGTCAGACTAGAAGAGGGGGAATACTTCACCTCCATAGGTTGAGACTCGATATTCGATCATATGCAGAGTGCTGTCTTGGAGATCGTACTCGGTACGAGCGAACTCTTGATACATCAAGGCACCCCCTTCACCATCTTCACCCCTTGACCCGGGGAGCTCTTTGTCTCCAGGATATCCTACAACGCCGAGTCTGACTTCGTCAGAAACAGGAGTCGGGTCTTGGACAGGGAACATATTGAGATCACCCTCGAACGGACGGTCGAGCTTGATGAATGCAACATCATGCGTCCTAATTCGTGGGCCCGACTGAACCCACTCCAAGGTAGTGATCACTCGCTCACCCAGACGAGCCTGAACATCGTGCTTCTCGCTATCAACCGAAGCACGTCCAGCATACCCGATGAAGCATTTGATCTCCTTCGCACGCTGGTAGCCAAATTTCCAATCGTAGACAACGTGTCCTGCAGTGACAACAGTTTCAGGACTGATGAGCCAGCCGGAGCCCATCATCCATTCTGTTCCACCGCTACCATTGTTGAATGCGGCTAAGATTTTGACAACAGCTGGGAGACGTCAGTCAAGATACTCGAGCTATTTGTAAATGCGAAAAAGCTCCTGATGATTATTTCGCAACTTACATCGAAACTTGCCACCATCGGCAAAGTCTCCGCGATCAACAGGACGGCGATGATCCTTTTCAAGAACGGTTTCCTGGTCATCGGCTCCGGGCTTGTATGGATTGGCTACAATAGCGGACTCCACCTTGGTAGAGGACGGTCGGTAGAGACTCCAAACCGCCGCCTGAGGATGGTGGTTACGAGAATCCATTGCTTCTGTGGAAACGTCGGAAGTGGGAAGAGTAAGTGTGCTTTAGGACTATCAAAATGGTTGTGAGAGCGATGAATGCAGTGGTCGTGATTGTGATGACTTTGAATGAGCCTATGAATTGGACTATTAACCTGGATGATAGATGATGCTTTATATTCTCAGGGCTCACGGAAAGACTGTTTTTTCTTTTTTTTTTTTTTTTCTTTTTGAGAGAGAACCCTTTTATTCAAAATTCTTCTGTGAGCAAAATGCTACGATCTAGAATCTAATTCAACTTGGCTGTCGCTCTTGGCATTCTTCAACTGAGGCCATGGAGACCTATGATGGCTTGTAGCTCTCATCCCTTTTCTCTGGATTGGTTGGATTACGAAGTAAGTTTTGAGGCCTTTGTCCTGACCCTTCCGTACTGGAAGCTTACACCCAACATCACATTCTTGGCATGTGGAGGACTCACAAAGGGGAATTCCTTCTCAGAGTTAATCTTGGAGAATGTGTCAGACCGCAAGTGACCTGTCAAACTCAGCCGCACGCCGGAACTAGCAGCTATGATATATCAAAGTCACTATTTCGTGACTCGAATATCTTTTATCAGTACAGTGCATCAGAATCAGTCTGACAGGGAGTTGGGTAGCAAGACTTCTTGCATGTAGCTCACATCGCTCATGAAGAGTTCTGCAGCGCATACTCATTATCTAAAGAATTACTTTAGAATTCAATAGCCAGTGAGTCTAATGAATATAGTAAGTGGTGAAGAAGACTGTCCCAGTTGCGAAGACCCAGAGCGCGGCCGCCAGCTAGAAAAACTATGTGCTCTCGACGTCGAAGTCAAATGTTAGCATGAATTCATCAGGTGTCCCGGTTTCCCGGACACGAGAGTAAATCAACTTAAGAGACACTACTGATCTCTCAACGGAACTTATCCGCATCATACAGCGAATGACACCCCGAAGATCGTGTCGTTGAAGGTTTCTAGTTACTAGGGAGCATCGTTTACGTTCCTTCATTCGCCTACTACATCTTTGCGCAGGCGATGTTTTGAAGCATGAGAGGCGAAACTTTCGAGTCTTCCACATTGCCAAGAAATGGAAGTAGGCGCATCTGGTCTCATCTAATGCTTGGCGACATAGCAAAAGACGATAAATACCAGAGTCAGCAAAACTCTTCGGCCAATTCGCCACGACTTTTACCAGGTAACATACCTGACCTTTCAGCTGAGCCAGCCGCTAACGACTACGCTAAAAGAATGGGGTCAAAATTTCCAATACGAGCTATGCAGTGGCTTTTCTGCGTTGCATGGATAGCAAGGGCGATAATGCTGGGAAATCAATTGGTCAAAAGTTCTATGCGCGGTGTATGCGATCTTGTCATCGAGAACATGGGGAAGGCGGAACAGGGCCAAACAGCCCGCCCTCTGGTCAGTCGTGATGAACGACTGTCGGACTCAACAGACTCGGTTCCTTAGGCCGAGAGCCCCCAAGATAGGCTCTAATTGTGAGACCAAGTTCAAAAAGTAATCTCTTTGAACTTTCTGAAGATCCTTGTACTGGGTCAAGCCAGGCCCTAAAATTGAGGGACGGTTGCATACGATCATGGACTCTTCGTTAACGATGGATCGAGGCTAATTCAAGAGATAAAGCTCAGAAATCTCCACCAGAGTAGCTCATGTCTTCCAAAAGACATTGAACCTTACACCTTCCTCATCGCATTCATCAGCTCAAGGCTTCCCCCCCTCCTCCAGGTGAATGAAAGGCCTACAATAGGTCACTACGGCATCATCTTGTCCAGACATTTACTATGCTATAATTCGCATGCCTAGACCGCATCTGTCTGCTCCAACTCCTCGACTGGCTGACTTTAGTGACTAGCTTCACCCGTCAGACTAGATCCTTAGTACCGACTCACGAGCTATAAGTTTGATCGCGTCGGGGACAGAAAGTGTCTCCACTTGGAGGCCGTGCGGAGGAACATGCGCACGTTGCGCGCCAGAAATCCTCATCATCCCTTGCTTGGCTGGTGGGAATACGAAATCGGCACTCAGTTCAGCGACCCTGGGCGTGAGTCAAAAGCTGTTCAGCCGGCCCCTCCCGCAGCCCCTCCCGCCGCCCATTCCGTTGCCACTCACATTCCACATGGGGTCATCCCGTCAGCCGCAGAAGATACATCTGACAGGAATGTATGTCTTCCATCGACCGTATGGGCCGCCATTCTGGAACATATTGATCGAAACTCAACTCCCAATTTGCGGAGAAAGTGAGTCAACCTTCTCGTACGTAATATGCCATGTCTGTTTATGGCGCAAATATGTGGGAACCGAAGGTGGCCAGATTGCATGTTGGCATTGAAGTCTTGGCCACGTGAGGTGACTTCGTGAGGGAATTTGGAGGAGGCCGAACTAGTCAGGATGGATGCTACGTCAACGTGGGAAGACCTCGCAGCCTCTCGGTTTTGATTAACGTAATCTAACTTCAAAGGCTTGAATATCTTATCATCTATCCCGGGCCATTCCCATCGTCTATCAGGTGGCTGAAAGGTACACATCACATCTCTCAGCAGCAATTTTTGTGACTTAGGCTATGGGTGAGAAACAGTGATTTTATACCAAAGCTGACAGTAAGGACTGAATTCCGAGAGACAAGTCGAACTTGACCAGTGAGAGTTTCAAATTTTCAAGTCATCTAGCGGCAAACGACGATGCTTGAAATGGGGAACAGGACCCAGAGACGCCTCCATCTTGGTATGTAGTCATTCTCAAATTTGGAAGTAGATATTTAGGTAGGTCCACTTCGTGTGACATCTTAGTCCTCCAGTCTCATGCAACAATCTGTCATGGCGCTTCCATCGTATGTGGCAATAAAGGGATGAGCCCGGAATTTTGGTGGCGCACCTCCTTGAACGCTGTGTTTATGCGTCGTAATTAGCCCTTCCATGTCGTTACTTGGCATGTCTGGTTTTGCGATTGTGTAAGGGTGTGTCAGATAAGGTAGTTCGAAGTCGGCTTGTGGGGGGATTGAGTGGATTATTACCTACTGGGAGTCGAACGAGCCGAAGGCGTTCGGTTCCTCGTAGTCTCACTAGATGAGAACCGTAGGTCCTTTTGATATGGAATTAAGAATCAGTATCAAGCGACAGACTTGATTCCAATCGAGAGAGTGGGAGAAGAGGAAAACACCAAGAACGGGATGAGCCTGCTAGCGTAAGCAATGCATCGCGAGCTGCGTCGAGCAGAGTGACATATTCACGTACATGAAATATTATTGATCACCACAACACTCCTATCAAAAGGGAATACTCTCAAGTAATAGTTCGAGGCCGAGGTTGCCATTAATCAGATTTTGACGTCAGTCTCTGCTCAAGCACTGTAAGAATCTGAGAAAGACTAAAACTTCTCCTGGCTGATTTACAGGCTCGTATTATACCCCGGTAGCGGGTATCTACGAGCGTAGTTTGTCATTGTCATGAATCCCTTGTAAAAGGTGTTGAGAGACTTGAAACAGAGATTTCTAATTGATATCAACGCCACCAATACCCTAATCTTTGGCGAAATTGACCACGATTTCAGTAAAGGTCTCCCGGCTGGTGAAGTCGACCTAATAGATGATGTTCACCTTGCAGACTCGGTCAAGTAGGCCCAGCCACCGAGAGAGGCAATATTCTTAACAGTGAGCAGACTCTTCAAGGCCTGCCACTTCTTGTAAGAATCATTGATCATGACCTTCCATGTCTTTGGTTCTATGGCCGCGAAGACCCCGTGAATGTGGGTGTATGTGTCGTCAGTATTGGCGTTTTCCTAGGCCAGAGGCACTTGCGGCCGAGGTTCCACGACTCTTGACGAACGATGCGGGAGAATACGGCTGGCGGCTTAGAGTCTGCTTGATCCATACTCCGCACTTGGGGATGCAGGCGCTTGCGGTCTCGGACAATTTGGTACCCGACCAGCCAAGGATGGGAGCTTGGACGTTGCAGTGCATAGTAGCGGGCTTTGCAGAGGTTCTAGTTGCTGCACATCTTAAGTGAGGTTGGGGTCCGTCATGAGTACCGACTTGTACCAAGGCTTGCCGGGGTACGAGAATCCTACGCAGACCTTTGGCCTGACGATGGCTGATATCGATCTCTTCATCAAGAGGAAGACCTAGGACTGAATCAAAGATGGGAGCATACCGGCACCGTACAACATGTCGCCCTGGTAGGCTGCCAAGTGCGGCCTGGTGATCCTTTGTGACGCCCGTCACGCAGCTCTGCCGAGCGTTCGACTGCGGGCGTTCTGACTTCGTCTCTTCGTAGGAGATACATGCGAAGCAGCGGATATACTCCCCTGGTATGAAAGTCGGGCGGAGGCTGGGCCTTGCGCGGTGTTTGAGGACGTCCACGCCCGTTCTGCCGCACTTGGATGAGAGAGAAGCACAGCCATCCCCCGGTCTGACTCGGCGATAATAGCGGGACGTCGCGCTTTTGCCGAGGAAACCCGGCCAAGCACGGGACCTGGTTAAGCCGTTATCTGAGCCTCAGATATCACGCAAAATGCTGTTTTTTGTGGTCTTGCTTTCTTGAACCACGTTCGTCAGGGGCGCCGAGGTGATATCCTGGACCCGACTATCTAGAGTCTTGGTGGTAGGCTGGATATAGCTAGCGACAACGGGACAATGTCCTTGATTCCACACCACGGAGGTCTTTTGAATTGTAGTAGTATTGTCAAGGGTGTCAAAATAGAGACCAAAAATCATTTACTGGCCTGGTCCGCCGGGACGGATCTGGGAAATTGAGCGGTTGCATAGGAGGTCGCTGACGCCTCCAAATTGGCCTCAGTCTGTCTGTATAGCAAACTCAGTAGGTTGCTTGCTCAGAAAAATGTCATTATAGATGCTTTCAACCGACTCTCTGTGCCACGCAAGCGAGATGTTCTGTTGCAGCTGTCGTTTGAGTCGGAAGGATTCCTTTATGCTGTCAGGCTCTGCCCATATAGAGGATAGTACGAGGGCGACGAAAAGTGTCCAAGAAATAAAGGAGCAGCTCAGGTATACATAGAGCGCAGGGAGTACACTTTGAGGGAGGGGTAGATTTCAGTAATTCATCGCTTTGACCCTAACAGTAGTTGGCCTCTGTGAGCTTCTCCCCTACGTCGTATACCTATTGACACATGTCGTCCAGCAAATGATGCAATTCCCCACTGTAATGCTGCCTACTGTCAGCCATAGTCAGCCTGGGCGCAACACTGATTTCTTAGCCGTCGATAACACATATTGTAGCGACTCTATCAATGACTAAGTGGGTGCGTTCTTGGTGTCGTCCATAAGTATAGAAGTTGCATTGATGACAACCATATCTCTAGCGGAGGCTGAATTAGCACCCATTGTACAACTCCATATAAGAACTTTGGCATCAGGGGCCGTCAAAGGCACGAACAGGGCGAAGTAAAGACGCATGAGCAGCTTGCAGCACTTTAGAAGATAAACCAAGTGGTAGGATATCTACTTAATATAAGCCATGCTACCTTCTTGTATGTGCCATTACCTTGACTCCTTATTTTATTTCATGCCCAGCATCTTTCCTCTTACGCATCGCCTCCATTAACTCGCGCATGACCGTCTTCATACTCTGCATATCAAACAAAGATGCGGAATCACTCCTATCCGCTTGCCCCACAATATCTTCACCTGTTTGCTCAATGGTCGTAATATCCTCCGTGATTGTATCTTGCAAACTCGCAAGCTCGTTCCACGAGTCTGACGAGGGCCTGGGTGTGGCTGGAGGCGCTGCGTTATCTCCAGCAAAGAACTGTCTTGAATCCTGCAGAATCTCCTTGATTCCAAGCTTGATTTTGTCCATCCTGAAGCACATGCTGACACCTGGAACAAGAGCCTTGACCATTTTATGGACTCGCGGAGAGTGTGCCTGATATGCAGCCGCGGCTTTCTCCAAGTCTGCCAACTGAGGTTGAGTGTTGCATTTTCCTGATGCCTCCTGAAATCCTCTGCTGAACATAAGGATCAGATCGCATGCCAGCATCAGTATGAGTCTTGCTGTGGTTGGTACAACAAGAGGAACATTGGAACCGGCGGAAATTAGAAAGAATGGTATCCCTAAAAAGATTCCGGTCGTGATAGCTGAGACGGCAGCGATCGCTTCAGCTGTCGCTGTCGCGATACTGTTGCCTTCTTTGTCGAATATGTTCCGCCCGTAAACATCGAAAGCAGTCTTTCCATCGACTCCTGGGATCCCGAAGCAGGAGAGAATAGCTTCACAAAGCTTGATTGCGGCTAACTTTCGGTTCACGGGGGTTGCTGCGGGCAATCCGGCCGTCAAAGTGGATCTGCGTACGACGTTCTTGTAGATGGCCATAACACTCTCCAGGGCTAGATCCACCTTCAGATCAAGGCGCGCAACCTGAGCCCGAATGTATAGGAGTCTGATCTTCTCATGAGAAAAGCATTCCGCGGTATCACATACCAGGCTTTGAATCGATTTATCATCGTCTGTTGATGTGAGCTTAGGTGTCAGAGGCCTATCTGCGTGGGTACTCTTTAGAATACTCTTTAGAACACAGACCTTTTGACACTGCAACGCAAACATCGAAGCGGCCGCCATCCAAATTCATGATCAGCTTCTCGAGATCGCGGAGCCGCCTATTGACTTGGTCGCGCGCAAATTGAGCCAGATTCTCATAATCAGGCGTCTGGCCCTGGGCCAACGCTGACATCACTCCGTCACTGAAATGAATCTTTTCGAAGTCATCCTTCTTCGTGGCAATCACAATGACTGGAATATCTTTCGCATATTCGGCTATGATTCGAAAAAGTTCCTGAGTCGCTTCTTGCACTGGGCGCTGATTGTTGACTTCGAGACAAAACCTGATGCTGTATTAGAGCTCGCAACAACGGGAGGCGAAGGCATGGAAATATTACCAGATAGCATGAAGACGCTTGTTAATCTCAGTATTCCTCTGTTTCTTTCTCAAAAACTCCCTCACAGCTTGGAGCTCAGCGGTAGCAGCCGCTTCGAAGCCCCTAGAATCGTGTATGACGAGATCCGGCCTTCCAGGCCAAGTGAGTTCATCCTGGACATTATGCTCACCTCGAACGTTGTTAGAGCTTTTGGTCACCTCTTCACTATCAGGCACGCCAAATACCTTATTGATCAGTGAGGATTTCCCGACCCCAGTGTTGCCGCAAACTAAAATGCGAAGAGGTCCGAAGTCTTTGTAGTCCTGTATTGCCGCGTCGTTCCAGAACCCTTGATTCGGAAAATCCACATCCTGTCCCAAAATTTTGTACCTCCACTTTTCCAAGTTGTCATAGAAGGGGAACTTCTGCATGTCCAATCCAATGCCAATGTACCTGTCGAGAAGGAGGTAGACGGAGGGGTGAATAGTAGTGCCTTGAGGCTCTGTCAGCATCCCGTTTATCTATCACACGTGATCCTAATAGTGGAGAGATAGATTAGTTAAAAACATACCTGAAGAATAGCTCTGCAGTCCGCCACCCTTATCAAAGGGGGTCCGGATTCTCTCTTTCTGAACACCGCCCTTGGGCTTCGCTAGACCGTGTCGAACACTGTATCTTTCATCCTCATGCAACATTTGGATATCCGCCATTTCGAAACGTATCCCATTGTCCGTAGTACAACTCCAAGGATTGCCATGGCCTTCGAGAATTCTGAGCAGGATAGGATCCATAAGACTGGCCCGATCGCCGGCGAATTCAGCAGATCCAAACTTCAGACCTAGCATCTTGCTTTCGCTGACCATCCACTGAAGTGGATACAGCGACAACCCATCTCTTGCAGAGGATCCCCCGATGTCTTTATGGCTACCTACAAACCAGGCTTGCCCAGCCAGGTTCCGTTGCAGTTCCTGGTTCATATTGAATCGGGGGGTGTTGAATACGTGTTCTGCAAGCGTAAGTTCATTCAAAGCCAATGCATGGCGAAAGTTCTGAATCACGCTGTTGAAAGAGATGTCAAAGCTTTTGTCGCTACTCATATCCATTTCCATGTCGAATACTCCAACGAATTGGATTGTTGGTGCAGCCCGAGTTGTAGCTTGAAATATCTTCGAAGTCCGGGAAACCGATCAGCAACAGGAGACATGAGCAATGAAATCAACAGCTTTGCTGTTAGAATGTCAAGGCGGACTGCTTACCTGACCATCTCCAAGGCCTGCTCTCCCTTGCCTTCTGCGATACTCTCTGAGAGTTTTTTCGTAGTCGGTTTTGAACTCTCTTTCAGTGTTATCGGCTGATACCAGAGCTCGTACATGGTAAAGTAACCCCGCCACAGCCTGGACGACAAAGCCGCCCCGCCCGAAGCCAAAGAGCCATACTTCATCTTCAGGCCCGGTCAATCGACAACAGTCTCGGTAGACTTCCCTGATATTATCCGAAATCCCGGATGCGATTGCACTAGGCATCGTTAAGCCGCGGTCATGAGATTTGATCCCATTGAAGTAACGCTTCTGCTGTAGGAATCTTTCGCATAATTGATAATTAGACGTCAATTTCGAGACTCAGACTCATATATGTATTCTCGCAGCAGCGTACCTTTTCCCATTGTCATCGGTGATTTCCCCGCCGTAGACGGAGGCGAATAGACGGTACACGTTCGTCGTGTTTTGGTTGTCGCTGGCAGATAGCAAGGACTGGTCTGTATCGCACCATATGCCATCTACACAGACAACGAGACGTTGAGGAACTGGTCGCTCGCCCGCCATAATGGATGCAAGGACAGCAGCGAGATGATTCAATCTCTGGATAACGCACTGCTGTTGCTTCAAAAAGACGTAAGGGAAATTGCAGGAGAAGAAAGAGGATGGCCTTCCGATTGATAAAGACCAAACAAGACCCTGAGGACGCAAGTGCAGCAAAGTTCTGAAATCTGAGAGGTACTCTAAGAGGTATATATCCTAGAGGCGGTAGGCCTCGGCCACTCGAAGGGGCGTCGCAACAAGGCTCCTGGTAGTCGAGTCGATTAACTGCACATGGATTTCAGGCTCCCCCTCTGGACGACAATCTTGCCCAAGTATTGACAGCCAGTAGCCTGAATATATGATGAGAAAGACCATAAACAAGTTGTCTTCTAATCAGGTGCGAATCAAAAGTGCAGTTGAGAGCCCGGGCTACTGTCACGTTGCAGGTGCCGAACGTTCACCGAGTCCTACTTTTGAAAATGCTTTCCTATGATTCGCCAGCTCTGACTGATGGTGGGCAAGATTAAAGAGGAGAATTGGTTGAAAGCCTGGGAACGCGATTGGCAGGTCCATGGTTTGTCTCAGCCTGCGCCGTAGCCTGCTTTAGACACTTGCATTCCTGCGTTGCGTTACCAACTATAGAGAACCTGCACCAATCGTCAATCAATGTAGGCCTCAAGATGACTCTAATATCGTCCCACCGGCATGATACCACCGCCTATCAATCATCAACTGCAAGCTGGACTGGCGCCCGCTCTTGTGTAACTCAACTCTGGTGGTAGTTCTGGGCCCTTTGCTGCCTTGGCAATCAATTCCGGGCTTTCAATTCGCTGAAAGGCCAACGACAAACATGGCTGCAGAGAGGTGCTGGCAAAGCCATTCTTCTCTCTGAGGGTGTCGTCAATCAATGGGTCCCATCGATGAAAGGCACATCGCCACAGCTCGTATCTTTACCCCACGACCCGATCTGGCATCTATGCCTGTACCATCTTCTTATGCGCATTTTCCATTCTATCATCTTGATTGGACGGCGACGCAAGAGCCCGTCGCGCCTTGCTCGTCATGTCTGTTCATCTCTAGATTTTTGTCGGCCCACAAGCCCGAAGATGACACCTTTGGACTTCGAAATCTGTATATCTCTTCTCCGAACCAAACGTCCCTAGGCTTTCTCGCTCAAAGGTGGTTCTTGAAGCTCTCAACATTGAACATGACATGGAATCGTCACCCCCTTCCGGAAAACCCCAATCGGCCCTCAGGCGATGACCTGGAATCACAATCTATTGATCATTCAACATGCGACTACGGCGGTTGGCCATACGTCTTTTGGGTTGAGTGGCTTGGGTGACTGGTTTCGCTTTAATGAGCATGGTAAGAGTTGTCACCTGCCCCAATATTAACCAGTGATCTGTTGATTCGCATGTTAGGAGTAGTTAATTGGAGGTATTAGGTGTGGTATCGAGATCGCACTATCAACGATCTTATCATCTTTCTCGCAAAGCAATAGCACTTTCGCAACGGCTTCGGGAACACCATCCTGGGTGGCTGGATTCTCGTAAAACCGCTGCAGCTGCGGTGGAAACGATTTTGTTCCTGTCCACGGCCCTGCAGAGCCAAGCACCGCCTTTGTCTTTCTCTCCGGCGAACACCAACCTTTTGCTACTTTAGTCCACTCTCTCTTTCAGCTCCTCTTTTAATCGGTAGAGCCACGCTGCCTGATGCTTATGAAGATACCGTTCGCTCTGGTATGTCTATCACCAAGGAATACTTTCTTCAGAGGCGCTTCACGCTGACTCTAGCCCTCAATACTTCCACAGGCCTTGCTTGTGCCTTTTTGATCACCTTACGTTGGCAAGGTCGACTCAGCGACTAATCCTCCGGCTGGGAGGGCGCAATAATCGAGCATGGCTAGCATAGCAAACGCAGACAGGCCATCGCATATCAATTTTCCATAAAATAAGGAGCAACTCATATCGCGCATTGAAGATTTCCTTCCGGCCTTTCCGCGATATCCTCTGGGAGGGAGTTGGTTTGGAGTTCCGCGCACCATAGTTGACTTTGCTGCCTTATGGTTTTGCGGCATGTGACCAATTAAGACATCTGTATTACCGTCTTCGAGTTAAAATTATAGATCAGACTAGAAAACCGATAGTATCTCAGTGAGAAAGATTCTGGTGGGATGTGCGAGCGTGTACTATTTAATGCTGGGACAGAGATCCCCTACGTAAGCATTGCTTCTTTCAATGGATTCACGTATCAACCAGACTTTCGGGGCCGATTGAAGCAAATCAGACTATATTCCAGCCTGATGGCACAGGTCAAAGTCGGAGTTTGTCTTTCCCTCTTCGTTCTTTCGACCAGGAGAAGGTTTCTCTTTGTCCTAACTCCCGCCGAAGCTTTCTAACTACTCCGAAACCCTGGTGGCATCTTGTTGTGACAACGAGAGCGATCCCAGGGTGAGTAACGACATGGTGTTTGATGACCTGCAGTCTGCTGCGAAACAGCATAACACACTACGCCGCATCACATTCAACACCTCTGTTACAAAGGCCATATTGACATCCCTCCAGAGTAGTTTTGAGCTGGAAAATTCAGAAAACTATTTTTTTGCCCTTAAGGCTGATTGCCGTGGCCAGAGTCACATCGATACTCTTAATGCCGGAGCCTGTCAATAGATGTACGACGTAGGGAAGAAGCTCACAGAGACCAACTGCTGTTATGGTCAAAGAAATAAATTACTATAATCTGTACCCCCTACGAAGCGTACTCCTTGCGCTCCATATATACCTTACCTGCTCCTTTGTTGCTTGGATCTTTCCTGTCGCCCTCGTACAATCCCCTATTCGGGCAGAGCTGACAGAGCCTTTCTAGCCAGGAGACTCTGTCTATCCCCCATATCCGCTCGTGGAGTTTTGACACATGCTACAGCGCCTTGAGTCTTCGATAATTGAATCCGTCATCATTGCTGGCTCCGCCAATTCGGTATGTGGTGCCGTATATTTGTTGCTCAAGATGGTCAAGGGAATGACGTGAGTCATCACTACCAAGGGTGCTGGTTCTCTTGTCATTCTGTTTTTGATGATCCTGGGTACAGTGAACTTCATCGCCTTCACCCCTAGATGGCTCCTATCGCTCCTGAGCTACTCAAATCTCAATGCAGAGAGCAACATATTAGGATGTTCCAGAGGACCGAACCAGGTTGTTGATAAGTTGTTCAAATCTGGGACTTTCTCGATCTTGCAAGCCAGAACCACGCTGGTTAATTCGTGGCTAGTGACCACGTGAATATTCTCAGGCCCGAGATCGACAGAAATGGTATCATCCTAGGCCCATTTTATTTTAGGTGTCGTTATACTGTCCGATTTCCGGCCGATGCTCCGTGGCGATCGCTTGTCTGTGATTTACGATAAGCTCCTTGAGCCCAAAAACAGCGCGGCACTACTGAGGCTCAGCAAGCCTATCGGGAACGGCAACGGCGACCCGTCATATGCACTAGTTTGGACGACCGCTTCGGAATTTACGGTCAACACTAGAAGCCCGACCTTGGACTTCATCATTAGTCTTCTGATGACAATAGCATTATTGACCGGAAAGCTACGAGGCGGCTGCTAACGAAGACGTCAACCAAATTCTATCATTTTCTGCTTCATTGCTCTAGCTGGCTTATGAGCAACTCTCGTCCCCGGATCGACAGCAATTGTGGCGCCTTTATTGTCTCATGGTCCCTATTGAAATGGGCAACGGTGAGAATTGTCTTGCCATCATGGGACAAATCCACATGGTTCCAACGTCACTGGACTCTGCGGTTCAATCTATCTAGTCTTTATTGTATTGTCAAGGTCGAACCAAACTCCTGGATATGGTGTTAATGAACAAAGAGGCTTCACTACGAGATACGTGGATACTAAAGCGGTCTCTCAGTCAGGGACGAGAGTTTCATTACCCGCGGCATGGTTTTCTTCTGGTGAGAGTGTTCCTTCCAAGACCCATACCTAGTCTTGAGAACCGCTTGAAGTGATCATAAATGGACTCTATCGTAACAGCTCGAGCGCGGCCTTGCTGGAGTAAGATTAGTAAAAGCTAATGTAGGCGAGCTGAGTATCTTCGAACTATCCCGATGTCTCTCGCTTGGTTTTGATCATCAGCAGATCTACTCCGTTGTTCATCGTTGCCTAGGTCATCTCTTTTCATAAGGTTTGTTGCAGGAGGTGGATCCTTTGACTGGAATAAGAATCGAACATGCGGAGCGCCTGTTTGTGATGAGTCAGAGATTGTCGTCATTCATTTACCGCTTTATTTAGAAGACTCTCAGCCGCCAGGCTCTCGCGCATCATGGGCCATCTAATTCGTGGCTTAACCGAGTGATGTTAGGGCCCAGCTAGCTTGAATGAACTGTGTATAGACCGAGATGCGTGGAATGAGTTTGACGGCACGAGAAGACTGCGTAAAGCCTCGGACTCGAGGCTTGGACTCGAGGGATTTCATTAATCGGAAGTTCCATGAAATAAAAGGTATCATTCACTGCGTCTAGTACTCAAGTTCTGTTATAGATGCAGAGCGTTTGGGGTCACCTTTTAGTTTCGTAGTGGTCGGTTTATTTGTGATGGGTTCGGCTTGCGTTAAGTTGAATGGGTTGCAGCGGGCTCCAGTCAGGAGAACAAGCTAGTGGTGCACGAAATGAACAAGAAGGCTCTGGTTTGTTTTCACTATTCAGTGGTTACATATTCATCACCCAGATTAAGGATAATCTGAGGTCTTCTTGACCTTGCTCGGCCTCTATTTAGGTTGAGCTTACTAGAACGTATGAGGCGCGAGTCCGTGTCGCTTTCCTTAACTGATATTAATATGGATGACCTCTTGAGAATCTAACGAAGACCCGGTCTTATGTAAATATGCTACTCGTATTTTTTAATTCGATAAGGGTCTTGTTGCGAGAGTAGCGGGAGAAGAAGTCATTGGAAATTCAAACTGCGTTGTTGCTGGCGCTCATCCTGCAGCATTGCTTAGTTAAAATGGCCCTGATGTCAAAGAAAGGAATGATGTAACCGATGGTCCTTTTTGCTAATGTGATGAGGATAGAAATAGATAGGATAGGAATAGAAATAAGGCCTTGCACAACCGATATTCTTGCACGGGCAACTGGAACTTCATGATTTTACCTGCGCATCTCCGGGTTCCTAGCTAATGATGCGGCCTTGATAAAACCTGATTATTACGTGATATTAGCGAGCCCGAAGTTGTAATATGGAATGCGATACTGCCGTTGATCTGGGCGACTTACCTACCCTCCTTTTGGGCGCACCAGTCGTAATCTCTGCCCCGTTGCTGTTCTTATGCTTGTTAAATTGCCAAAATGCCTAGAAATGACGCTAACTCGGAAGAAAAGAATACGTTTGGCGTTTTGCGTAATTCTTGATGATCTGCTACTTCCATTGAGAGCTGGTATACTGTTCCGGTCAACGCACAGAATGCCTCAAGCCCCACTCTGTTGGGGTCTTTGATGTCTTTTGGAAAGTCTCTGCGTCTCTGGAAGCCCCCTTTTCTTCTCTTCTGGAAGGCTCCATTACGTACGGATTCTGAACTGGTTCCTGTCATCTAGTCCTGAATGGCAAGCACTTAGACGGGCTGAGCAGCGGGGAGGGCCGTTTTACTGGTAATGTCAGGTATGGTTATCTCGTTTTTATGTGGAATCCGGTGCCAAGGTTTGAAGTAATGACTCCTACAGCTGGCTTTCACCCGCTATGCTCTTAACAATGCAGATGAATCTCTCAATACTGCTGGCGGCCACCGCAAGGCCATAAGGCTGGCTCATTCCCACTTGATCCATGAACAGTACCCAAACCCGGCGCATGGTTCTCTCTCATTAAAAACCCTGTTGTTGAAATATGTGGTGGCAGAAAGCACAAAGGCGTGATGCAGCATATTAGGTGAGAAGGCTATGCAGGGAGAGCGGATGGATGTTGCGCAGCAGTCATCGAGATATTTGACTTCAAGCTTGGTGTCAAGCCTGTTTCCTCTCTCCTTGTCTTGCGTCGCTTTCTCATGCTGTTCGTGACTAGTAGAGTTCGGCTGTGCCACGGGTGATGTCTAAAAAGGTAGTCTTGGTGTCGGTAAATCCATACTTTAAGTACCTTGTTATCGAAGTAATAGATTCTTTGTAAGTCATAAGTATACTCGGTGCGTTGTGCCCAAGAATTTGGAAATCCCAACATACTCCTGCCAAAGAGACTGGAGTGAGCGCGGGCGAGTCTCGAAACCTTCGGGCGGGTTGCTGAACCCAGGAGCCTCCCGGTCATGATGATTGAAGCATGGCAACCTGTCTTGTGTTTCCTACATGCGCCCGAGGCCTCGGGATCTTGCCACTTCGCCCAATTGTGTTGAATTCCACCAACCTCGTCGACTTGATGATTGATATCGAAGATTAGATACGGCGGTATGTCGGTTCCAGGGGCGTGGCAGGCGGCCATCAAGTGAAACATCAAGCCAGACAGCGAGATTGTATTTCCGGCGGGAAAAGGGTGCTGAGGTAGGCTGGTCTTTGCAGCCGAGGAAGGAGATTAGGAGGCGGGCACCGAGATTCCAATCGTCAGGGCCGAATCATGTGAAGTTTGACATGATTCCGTAAGAGCAACGGTGAAGGAATAGCATGAGGGGGTGAGTGTATATGGATTTGGATTGAAGTCCAAAGATTCTGCGCGCTTGAAATGAGTTAGGATACGATGGCACCGAGACCGGCAAGGTGTGCTGTGAATGCGCAATGGCGACCAGTGAAGTGGGCAAGGCTGACGGTGGCGCTTGGGATGACAAGGCTGAGGAATGAGAAGGTGGAATATGTAACTGCAACGATGATGAAGGCGCGTAATCAATGTATGGCAAAGGTTGGGAGCCTGTTGCTCTGGCCTGGTCTCATTGTCAGTCGCGCGAAGCAGTAGGTACCGCGCCACGGCAACATTGATAGCCGAGCGGATACAGGTGGAGGGAGACGTAGGACCAAGCAATCCAGCACCCAGATCAAAGGAGCCCAGCATGTGCTAGAGTACTCAGCAGATGTCGGGCAGCCATTTTTCGTGATTAACTAGAAAGGAATACGCCCGGGCATTTTGCCCGTGTGCCGCTGTCAATCGCTGGCCTGAAAGCTGTCACGAGATATGGATGTGGTTAATGCTGCCCACATTGAGTGGGCCTGCTTTTTGTGACAAAAGCACTTACGAAGTTGCGCCTCTTCGACTCGCAACTTCCTCCGTAATACCGGGCGCAATCGACGACTTCTGCGACCATAATTGACAATGAACTGCGGGTTCAAGTGGCGAATTTTGAACCCGCACTTGGCCATTGCCTACAGTCGCATTTAGCTGGGCGTAATTGACAATATCTCACGGTCGCAATCGACGATTTCCTACGAGCGCAAGGTGACGGCTTTTGCGGTCGCACTTGATTGGGCGTAAGTGGGCGTTTTGCGACAGCACGCGCGATGGGTTACGTAAGCGCCCGTCCCAAGCGTTAGCAGTGGCACGCAATCAAGCTATCCGCAATCATAGAAACTCCTGCATGTGAGGTCGCAGTTGAGTTGGCGTATCCGAATATTTCCGAGACCACAAACGTTGACGGGCGCAATTGATTGATCATCCATGTGAGCCTGGAGAAAGTCGTTAATTGCGGCGAGATGCAACCGAGGTAAGCCTGGCACATGGGCAACGTAGGCCAACGACTTAACCAAGATGACCACTCGCGATTAAGAGGGGATGATAAATGATCCAGTGTACAAGAGTGGTGATAACATGCGATAGCTATTGGAGATCATGAGATGATGGCGTGCAAGTCGTCAACTGAGGTGCATTACCAATGAAATGTTATCAGTGTACTACAAAGATAAGCGATAAGAGATAAGATGAACCTGGGAGACCTTACCTAGGTAGGAGCGGGCAGAAGGGTTCTGTTGTGGCCGATGCTTATAAGTGGGGCTGTGCGCTCGGGCCATGTGTATCTCACGGATACATGCATGGTCTTGTTGCATCTTGTAACCCGACTATGCTAATGCAGGGTGTACCGTACTGAAGGGGGTCTGTGCCATACATTACATGTGCGACTGAGTCAGCGTCCTCGGACCACTTCACGATGTTGGCGATGTCCCTTTTGTCCATGTTAACGGGCTGGCACCTGGCCAACCGGCGCCAGTATATCTCTGGCCTTCCCAATAATCTCCTAATTGATGAGACAGAAACCAAAGGGTGCAAAACTTTCCTCTAATTGGCCAATTCCAGATGCCCGCAGCACCGCTAATCTGAGTTTCGCTGGGATGCATCTGCAATCTCGGATCGTTGACACGTCTAAGGTTGGACAAGTCCCAGAGATGACCCAAGCAGCCCGGGCCAGTGCATCGATATTGGTGCCATAGCTTTTCCCCTTGGCGCCGACAAAAGCAGTCGACAGCTCGGTGATCCTGATGGCCTCAAAAGTGGTGCTGCGTTCAGCTGGCATCGGGCGTACGAGACCTCAATTCTTCTAACAACGAGGGGCGCTCAGTATACAGCGGCTATGGTGGTGATGCCCTGGTGATATGATGCTTATGACGAAGATGTGGCCACGAGCGATGGATGTCTCCGATACGTCAATGTCCATAGTTCCTGCCCCCCACTGCTCATCTTCTTTTCAAGTGGCCACTGAAGTGCTGTCAGTGACAAGGACCCTGGACTGGAAAAATGGGATGTGTGGCATTGCACCCAGTGTAGCCCGCATCCAACCATGGCGTGGCCGAGACTACCAGTCTTTGTGATAGTGCTTCCTCGTCTTCAATGACACCGCATCGGCCGAGGGAAAGCGTGCCGTAATGGTCGCATTGTGATATTAGTCCATAATTGAGTTACAGAAAACCTGCTATCTCCAACTGCCTCATCAACAACAGCGACAAATTTCACAAGCCTAGTTCCAGCCTCCGCGATTGCTCTTAGCATGCCCATGTTCTCCTCTGTCTCTACTAGCCTGAGCTTGCCGTCTTGGCGACCACCTGCTCATCGCTTAACTGCACTCTGACGGCTGGTGTCCAAAAGCCCAAGCGGGATCCCGGCTGTGTTAAAGGCCCAAACCTTAGTGATCACTCAACTTCCATCAACCAGTCCGGCACGACACAGATACCGAATCAGCAGCCATGCGAACGAGCAGATCTCGCTGCCGTATTTGGTGATGATACTACTGGTGACGGCGTTCGTGATACGGTTCCTGTTCTTCTTGCCGGCCCCGCCACCGGCGTCGCAATAGAGCGCTGCAGCGGTACTACGCACGCGTGAGGCGGCGGTAGAGAGGGTGTAGCAGATGTTTTCTCAAGTGGGCCGGCGGACGATTCTGTGAGATCTACAGAGAAATAGCGGGAATATCTAGGCGACGTTTGAGAGTAATCACGCAGGACGGATCCGTCGGCTACTTGCTATCTTAGTGGCGACTTGTTCAGCGCTCGATTGCGATCTGACTGCTGGTTTTCAGGTTTTAGAATGGGATCTTGGCTGGTTTGAAGAGGCCAAGTCCGTTCTCGTGGTCCTTCATCTCTCCAACGATGAAAAGCTTATCTCCTTACAGGACTGCTGCGTGTCCTGATCGCCGCCGCTCGGCTTCGAGACCTCTGCGCCGGAACATCGTCGTAGTATTAACCAATCTCCGCTGGTGGCTGACCACATCCGGTTTGAGGACACGGTCATTTTCCTGCAGAGCCGTATTCGAGTCAATATACTTGGAAGAAAGAAAGCAAGAATGGACCTTACCTACTCTACTCGGAGTTAGCGTACGTGAGCTGGTGTCAATGTTGGCGCCTTTGCCTTGCCTACAACGTGCTTGGTCTTCTTTCCTCACTGCCATTCCCGATGGCGGACCGTTCTTCCGCTCGTTGTCGAGACCACGGGAAATCACGGTGACCTGGTTGACGTTGGGACACTTCAACTGGTTCACGTCGGTGCTGTCGAGAGGCTTCTTGTGGAGGAAGCTGTGGTACAAGAGCGAGTACTCATGCTTGCCGGTCCAGGCGCTGAAATCTTCCATGACAATACGTACCATTTTGAGCTAGGATTTGATGTTGTCTCCAACTATCGCCAGCTAATCGGCCAACCCAGACCTCGGCACGACTTTCCACAATTACATCACAATCTTCATGGCCTTCCTCTGAATCCTTTATCCGTCAGCCGATCGCGACGCACATCTTACAGCAACCCATACACCGGCATCTTAGCCAGTCAGACGGCGGCGTTTTCGCCTCAACCAGAACCCTCCCGTCCTAGGCCCAGGCCAACTTCATTGGCAGGCAATTAGCCGACAGCTTTAAGCGTCCTTGCATCGCTCATCTCACGCTGAACTACATACACGGCGGTGTGCTCACGATCTCATGCCCTTCCAACAGACACAACGCACAATCAATTTGTCCAAGCACACACATGGATGGATCGCATTAAGAGGCGTCAGGGCGGCGGATCGGATTGTTCAATGATATGCCAGGAATTCAACGGCAGGCGAGCATCAACATTTTGGTTGCCAATAGGCGTACGATACAGGGAGGGAGACCACAGAGGCCAACTGCTGTTTAGGATCAAAGAGATGGGTTACTAAATCTGCTCCTGCATAGAGGTATACTCCCTGGCTATGAATCGATCCGAGCAGCTCCTTCGTTGCTTCGACCCTCCTGTTCTCCCTGACTAACCCATGTCCGAGAGGGCTCTGACACTGGTCGACTCTACAGTTTTTCGCCTCATTGGCCCACTTCGATGCTTTCTAAGAAAGTTTTTTCAGAATTTAAACGATTGAATTTGTGATCCTCTTGATCTCCACCTACTTTCGCGTCGCCAGTCTCGATAACACAAGGTCGACCAACATCGGAACCTGCGCCACAGTGGCCTTGTGAGATCTGTACTTGCGCCAAACGTAAAAGGGGCTCGGCGAGGAAGACATTGATACTACTTGGCTCTTCCTGCCCGTTCTCTGCCATACTGTATCTAGGTCGGTATACTCTCTCGCTGGCGACGGTCGATGCACAAAGGAGCTCGACGAGGAAGACATAAATGATCCATTGGCTCTTCCTACCCAGCCCCCACGATGATGTGCTCCAACCGGTACACTCACTCGGAGAGAGAGACCGTATTTGGATCTATTTGGATCAGAGTCAAGGCAGTCCCTGAGAAGAATAGCAACATTTATGCCACCTCGTTCAATGAGAGGGAAGGAGCGGCGAGGCTGATAGCACTTACGGACTTGTATCTTAGTGGGAGTACGTGAATTGGAAGCCTTAGACTCATTACCTAGGTGGAAACAGTATGACGGCAACGATTGCAGCCATTGGCCCCGCCGGAGATATTGGCGCAGGGTGGGGGTGGCGTCAGAGAACTGGAGGGGTAGTGGGGCTAAGTAATTTATGTAGTGTGGCTAGGTAGACTGTCAGGCTTTGTCTCAATATGAAAGCGACTCGGACGATCTGGTTAGGTCACCGGCAGTGCAACTTGCTCTGCGGGTGCGGGTGGGTAGGATTACGTGAATCACATCGGCAGCAGTGCCTGCCTCAACGTACCTCAGGTCGCGTCCGGGTTCTGTTGAAGCTTCCCAGCTAGAGGTAGGTAGGTACCTGAGGTGCTAAGGTAGTTCGGGCGGGTAGTGGTGGTTGTGGCTGCCTGATGTGCGAGCCGTAGTACGTACCTACCACCCGCCCGCCGAAGTGGACCTGAGGTCGGAGGTCCAAGTAAGCTGTGGTCCAAGCTCCTTCCCGTCCAGCCCTTGCATCGGGTCCTGGCCTGCGTCTCTCGATTCGTCTTCTACACACCTCACACCTCATACCTCTTTTTCTCTCCCACTTTTCTCTATTACACAATCACCTCCCACACATACACACATACACACACACACACACACACACAATCGCACATGACCATCCACATCAGAAGTCACCCAAATTGTTGAACCTCGTCATCAAACTCAAATCATTCGACTGTGCGCTCCGCGACCGCGTGTTCCACGCCCAAATTCTTTCAACTCAAGCGTAAGCTATTTCTCCTCGATGCTACAATCACTCCCCATGTGCTAATCTAAACGCAGCGCAGAAATGTTCGCGCAATACCGTTCTCAACACCTTGATCGCCACTATGCGCGCCTTCACTGGGATGCCGAGTTGGAAGCCATGAATGGTAAGTCGCTCCGCATCTACGACACAGTACTCCTCCTGCTTGAGCACTATTTCTAACATCAGAAAATAGCCAGAGATGACAAAGCCGCTTCAGACTAGCAGTCAGGCAACGGCGATGACATCCAATTTAACCCGACAATGTCCAACCTTGTGCCTGAGTCCGACCACGACGACGACCAAAGTGCGATTCTTCGTCAGGCTGCATACTACCAGAGCCGGTTTCCAGTCAATTTCCCCTACAGAGACAACGTTTCCGACGAAGACTCCGACAGGACATCAAACCAGCGCTATGCGCCGAGCTCCCCTTACGATCTCGAACCTCCGCCTTCATTGTTGGTGGAGACAGCCATGGACAATGAGGAAAGCCTGACCGGCAGTCCGACGTTTGATTGGGTGTGCGGTTTTATAGATAATTCTTTGAACACAATCGATTACTTAATGCCAGAGCAAGTTCGGGAGGTGGTGCGCTTCGTGATCGACCATGTGTGGGCATTCTGGTGTGGGGTTGATGATAGAGAGGGCTTTTTAGTCTGACAAATGAAGAAAACGGAAACCAGTTGTCCCCATTGGGGGCTAATAAAACTTTTTGGGACCGGCAACGTCTCCTCGCCATGAGCAATGTCCAGCATGATAGTGTAATTATCCCTTGATGTCATGGTGACAAGCTTGACCGGGTGTTCAATGGCTGTCAGCGCATTAAATTATACAGTGGTCTCTCTCGTGTTGTTTGCAGATCTGTTGCATATTTACGCTGTTGGCTCTTCCGTGTGCGCTCCACACAGTCATGCATGGCATCAAAAGTCCATTGTACTTGAAGATGATGTTGCGCGGCTTGCTTGCTTCCAGAAGATGGACGCGACAATGGAGTGTCCAGAGCTCATCGCATCACGACACGCCATGATAATGTCTCTTACCTCACCTTCCTAACTTCCCCACCGATAAGACACGAGTGATGAGGAAAGTAGAGAGTGAGTGGTTCTCAATTCCTAGGGAAGACTTAACTTTCCTTGCAAGAACTTCCCGTTGGTCGCCATCTTGCCGAAATCACGAGCAAGTTGAACCACTTGCTTCTTTCATTAATCTTCATCCTCATCGGCGATCACCTGTTTTGGACTTGCCCTCCGTCACTCGAGCGGATGATCGGCTAGCTTGGCCACAAGAGCGAGCTTGCGTCGTCATTTCGCCATCAAAAGTGAGCAGCTGCTTTGTTTCCGTCTCCGTCGCGGGGCATGCAATTCTCACCACAGCTCCTTCAGGTGCCCACCTAAACCTCGAAGGCTTCCTGCCTCGTACTTTTCTGCTCGAGAATCTTGTCCCAAAGGGTCTAACAACTCCCTATGCAACATCTTTTCGAATTTGTTCAATTTGCCACTCATATCGCATATCGCCTTCATAGCATTGATTTCACGCTCAAGTTTGCAACGCGAAAGTCTCGTTTCGAGTACAACAAAGATACCGTCCTCAAACAATCGTATACCCTGTCATCAAAAACGATCGCATCTTCCTTTTCCCGGGTGCATATCCCACCATTCCTCTTGGCCCTTTTCCCAACCTCTGCGTCGCCATCAAAATCCAGAACCCTTGCGCTTCGACTTGTGTACCCGACTTCTGCGGTCGAATTTCCCGGCTAGCACCGGTGCATGAGTCAACTTTTCCATCCCGAGTTACATGGCGGTTTTGGATCGAAATCGCTATATTGAGTGTTGCGCGTGGAGTCAAAGAGTACACCATACTGTGCGATTTCATTTAAGAATCTGATCCTACTAGGGCCGATGTTTTGGAAGTATGAGGTTGGAAAGTGAAAAAGGAAAAAAGACAACCACATATCCCACCATTCAATTCACAATGGCCCTTGCTCCCCACCTTGCCCAGGGAATGGTCTCCCCGTCGTGTTTCCCGTCGTTTCCCGTCGTGTCCACACCGAGAACCTTTGTCCCGAGGACATCAGAAGCTTGTTCCAGCTTCACACTCCTGTCGACTTGTCGAAGAGAGTTCCCATTAGACCTGTCCCACTTGGACAATACTCTTTCTCTTCAGCACGTACAGAACTACTAGTAGACGACATCCAGGAATTGCATGCGTTCATTGACTGTGACCTTAAGACTATTAAGAAGAGTCCACCACGAGTGCACACGGCCGGTGGGAGCAGGACGGACTCGAATATCTTGGACAATGTGGTTCGCGTGATGTTGGATGTTGATCAAGCCGTTGATTGCTTCGCAAGGTGAGGGTTCGAAATTGGTGATGAGAAGCAACGAGTAGGAACCCAAAGGTTTGTGGCCCGCGCGCTGTGCGTGTGTGTGGGGCTCAGGCACCCGGTTGTGGCAGGACTTCGCCATCGCGTGGGAGAGTCAGGATACCGGACATGCGGCAGCAAAGACTAGTTTTGTGTAGAATCCAACACCGGGCCGCACGGGCGAACGGACGTGTCTTCTGGCAATCTGCTGAAGGCCATCATGATCAGCATTTGTGTCAAGGACAATAAGGGTAGGTCTTTTGAGTCGAAAGCTCGCAGATCCTTTCATGGATGATGACGGCGATGCAAACAAAGACGCTGCCAAGAATGAACACGCGGAGGACAAGACGTCGGAAAAATGCGGGCAGCGACAGCGAACTCAAAAGCCAGAAAATGGTGCTGAACATTGACATCAGAGACTATAAAATGCTGCATACCTGCTTCTGTTGCTATACGATCTGAGCCTCATCATCATGACTCGTCACCATTGCCGCACTTGTCGGCCTCCCGGGGCCATGTAGGTCCTTCGTCTCCGTTTCCTCATGTTCCTTCCCAGACGTGCCCCGTGATGCACTCCGAGCACCTCTGGACCCGGACCCACCGGCTAGCTGTTGTTGTTGTTGTTGTTACTGTAATAGTTTGCGCTGCTTCATCTTCTCCTTGGCAGATGCGGACGGCTGGAAATCTCGGCCCACCTTGGCTGGGTCTAGGACTGAGGGTCTCGCGAGATCTGAACTTGTGAGGGCCATATCCGAGCGCAATGGGTGCTCAGATTATCATCCTGTCGTTGGCACCTCTTAGGTCAGATTTAAGGACGTGATCGTGTAGAGTCCGCGTATCTGCATCGAGGGGGATGTCCGTCGCTCGGGCGTTGCCAGCAGCGACATCGGGGTACTTTGCAGGTCCCGATCGGGTATAGTTGACAATATTGCCCTCGACAGCGAGATGAATGTCGCGGGAAGAGCAGGGAGCAGCTACGGGCGTGACGTAGTGTGTGTGGGGGAGGTTTTCGTAGAGGGTCCAAGGGTTCGTAGCGCGGGTGTAGTAAGGAGTCGATTGTGTGCCATGTAGATTGGTATGGCGGAACAGGAGGCTGTGTAATATGTCAAATATTTGGCTTCAAAGCAAAGACAGGATTACTTACAAATGTGAGTACGCTCGGGGGTCTTCTTATTTGTGCAGCTGGGTGATGATACGACGGGCTTTCGAATCCCGGTGGGCTGCTTCGGAAGGAGGTCAGTCAAGATGATGATGACGATTGCTGTTGGCGTACACGTCAGCAGGACAAACATACGGTTGGAACGAAGTGTAACAATAGTTCTATTGGCACTGCAGCCCGGAGCCTCCGTTTCTCATCGAAGCCTTTTTGGTACTGTCGTTGTCCTATAGTGCTGTGAACCAGAGACCCATAGGGAACCGTGTGTTTCGAGTCTCTAAAGCCCCTGGTTTCTTTGTTTTGTTATCGTACTCGACGCGTATGCGAGCGGAAGGAGAATGAGTTGGGCAGGGCCCTCGACCCCGCTAAGGGAGGTAGATAGGTGAAAGAGTCGCTTGTGTAGCCTTGACCGCCTTTCAAGCCCACCTTGTCTGCCGACTGCTCAGAGAGCCAGAAATGGTGATGATGGTCAAGGCGGGAATTATAGCTAAGAGGAAAATTTAATTATGGAGACAAAATTTGGGAGAAGGATGTTGAATCTCGGGGTTCGAGAGGCTGAGGAAAGCCACGTGCCACGGTCGACTCAGTATTGATGTTGTGCACTCTCTCGACGCTCACAAGCGCTGGGTAAACGGGGTCCCAAGTCATGCCGTTGGCCAAGGTTGATGCATTTCTGTATGTGTACCGAAGACGGAAATCTAGACAGAGACTTGAGCGAAGCTCCAAGAAAATCTTGGCCCAAAATTCCAACCGCCAGCAAGAGCTTAGCGGGAAGTGGTGGGTTAGACCCTCTTTGAGATATCGTGACAGAACATGAAAATACGAAATGCTCCCCTGAATCACAAGCCGCCGTGTGCGCTTGTTTGTTGCCCCTCATCTCCAGCCCTTTTCTTATCGTCCGCTTCTGTTCGACTGACATGTTCCACCAGGCACTCATATCTACAGCGAAAGCTATATCGTGAGCCATGGGCCAAGTTAAAGGCTCCTGAAGTATTCAGACGGTCGCTATATCCATGTCAATAGGTGAAAAACACAGAGAGGAAGATCACAAAGGTCAACTGCTGTTTGTGTCAAAAGGATGGATTACTGGAATCTGCCCCCTCCTAGATATGTACACCCTGCGCTGTGTAACTGATGCATCCAAGCTACTCCTCTGTTGCTTAGAACCTTCCATATCCCCAACTAATCTCCATCCGGAAGGGCTCTGACAATCCATGTGTTGGTATACTGTCAACCGGGCGAGTCCACGATTCCCCCCGTTGGATCCAGTGCACATGGACGGTGTAAGGCGGGGAGAGGTCGGTGATTGGCTGGATGTCGATGCCAAACTTGAGAATATCGCCCTTTGTAAGCTCTTTCGAAGTATGCAGAGGCAGTTCTAGAGAGGGATCATAGGTTCCGTGTAGTGAGCCGATGTCTTTGACGAATAGTTTCTGGTCGTTGTGTTAGTATTCAGCGTAAAAATGGTCGGAGTAGAGCATATACCTTGTGGTACCAATCGACCGTGGTTTGGTCTGCTCTCGATCCATGGCGAGGCTGTCCAAGTAGCAATTGTCGGCTTCTGCTCCAAGTTGTTAAATCGCTGGCTCGCTCGCGAGTGGGAGAAACGGCCATTTGAAACCGCCCGAGCACCTTCCACATCCCTCTTCCTACCGTCAATATGAGTTGCGGGTTCGAGCTCTGTTTTCCGGCAAGAAGCGTCTTCAGTGGGCTTGACTTGTCTTTGGCGATGATTGTCTCTCCAATGGATCTCTTCGGCAACGGCATGGCCGTTTGTGCCTTCCGTAAGGTCGACATCCTTCCACGTACTTGCAGTAAGGAAAGAATCCTGGGCTCCGCCCACCAACTTCCTTCCATACCATATTCGGAGGCGAATACGATGGTTCGACTTCGTACTGACCGAAGGTGTTTGCCCTGCTGAGCGTCACCATCGCTTCAAGCCAGGCACATACATCGCAACGCTGACCTCGTACCGGCCGAAAGGCTTTGCCCTGCTGAGCATCGCAATCGCTCCAAGCACATACACTGCTGTATTCTGTAAGATACGGGGCGTTCAATCGCTGTGCTGCTTTTGTACAGCGCACTGGGGCCCCAAAGTCAGCGGAGGCCCCAGAGGCTCTCGATACTTATGCAACCGAGAGCTATGGGTAGCATAAGTATCGAGAGCCGTGAGCTTCACTTCTACGACCATGCCTCCGGCTCCTTCATCCAGCAAGCTGCCGCTGTCACTGCCACCGTCACCGAGGTCGGAAAGTGGGAGTACTACGACCGATTCTAACAAAGCTCGTTCGGCGTCGACTTCAAACTAGTTGAGGTCTTTATTATCGCGATCTCTCAACCTTTAAAGACGAAGGATATTGTCAGTGTTACACATGTAAGTCTGACGTCCTAAAGATCGCTGCAAGGACACGCTGACTGACTGTTCTCTGTGTGCGTACTAGCACCACGCTTCATACGCAGAGACAGATCCATCCAATTCAAACTCCCAAACACATCGCCGACGAAACCGCGAGCCAATTATACGGTGCTGGGCTCCAGACCCAAGCCAGTGTAGACGAGGCCGAAAGAGAAAGGAATGGCCACCTGACACATCGAATAATCACGGGGGCGAGCTTTCCGTGGGAGAAAGTTACTGTTGTGAGTTTCCTTGTTGCACTTACGCCCAAAGCGATTGACATACTGACAGACAGTCTGCCATGGTCAGGCATATGTTGCGAAACAGTCTACAAAGACCACTGCTAGTGGAAAACGCGATGACGGCCAGCAGGCGGCAAAAGAAGTTGAGACGAAGTGGGGCAAGCAGCACGAGCGGCAGAAGCAGCAGAAGCAGTACGGAACAAAAATACGCAGGTTCAACCGAAACGATTGTGGGAGATCTCAACAGACTCTGGAGTTGAAATATTGACGGCAGAGGAGGGGATTCGGAATGTGGTCGGGCCATTGTAAACAAAGTAGGGGTCCTAGCAGTCGTCATACTCATCATCGTCCGCGGTCTCGACGGAGCTCGCGTGCTGATTACAAGGCTTGATGACGCGACGAGGTTTCTCGTGCTGCTGCTGTTGTTGCTGTGCGGTGGGAGAGCGGGCAACTTGGCCAGCAGGGCCAGCAAGCTTGCTGCCCTCGTTCTTGGTATCGACCATCTGTAGAGTCTTCTTCTCTCTCTGCTTGGTATTCTGATCGACAGTCTGGTTACTCTGCCCTTCACTTTCTCGCACATCTACACTCAGCAGAGGAAACATGAGCTCTGCTCACAACGTTCTTCTCGGGCACACATACGCAGTTCAGTGCTACAATTATTCAGTCTTGCACCAACCGAAAGATCCAACATCGCTGACGTCGGGTGGACACCAACGACCGACGTCACCCGGCCAAGATGGGAGAGCTCGCCGACTTCCTCGTCGAACACGACCAAAACTTCCGCAAGTCCGTGCCTCACTCTCTTCCCCCCCCCCCCCCTCCCCCCCCCCCCCCCCCCCCCACCTCCCCCACCGCCCACCCCACCCCCCCCCCCCCCACCCCCACCCACCCACCCCCCCCCCCCCCCCCGCCCCTCCCCCCCCCCCCCCCTCCCCCCCCCCCCCCCCCCCCCCCCTCCACTCATTACCTCGTCTTCCAAGCTTTGAGCTCAATTGTATACTAACGCCCTTGCCTGCGCAGAGCCCATTTGCCCGCCCTCTACTCCGACTTCCGCCCCCAACAGACCATCAATCCAGACAGCTTCCAAGCCAACTGTTGAATTCTAGGCAGTCGGCAGAATAGGTGGATCTAGGAGGCATTCTGGGCCATGCAAACGGCCCTTCCACTGACTTACCATCTTTGGAGAAATCCTTCGCCCACTTCTTCCTCCTTCCGCTTCCATACGCAGCAATAAACCGCCATGTTATTGCCCTTCGTAACAATCTTGGATGTGTATACCAACACTAATATCGGCGCCTGGCGCCATGACCTCGTCCGCGCAGCATGGGAAGGCCGAATCGCCTCGCAGCTCTCAGCGGCGAATGTCCTGGTCATCAACGTCGACGACCAGAGAAGGATCAGATGGAGCAGCAGGAGCCTGCGAGTGAGCAATGCGTTGCGGTTCTCACTGAGCAGAACCAGCAAGATACCAAAGAAGGCAGCTACAGCGATCAGAACCAGAAATGCCAGGACTCATGTAAGATGGTGGCACCATCTAAGTCTGTCATTGCCGGCGTGCTCGCATCACTCCCGATGAACGATGTTGTAAAGATGCTCCCGTACAGCCCATCCTCCAGCTTACCCGCCTGTCCTGCAAAAGGAACCCGTCGCTGTGCGTATAAAGAGACTTTCACCTTGGGCACACCTCATGGCACGCAAGCCCTTGTATCGTGAAGTGTCTGGGCCCTCTCTCGACACGCAGCCATCCGCTGGCACTTTGTGGCATCACGGCTTTCAAGAGGTTCCATTGGAATGAAGAGACACAAATTCCACCCCGTCGGCGTCTTATGGCGGACCAAGGCTTTCTGGGAGGATAGGCACTTGAATCAAAGGTGGTGGTAATGGCGGTGGCAACGCAGACAGCCGTCAGTTCCGTGATTGCTTCCGTTCTCGTGTACTTGCTTGCAGCAGATCTAGCCCCAAAAGCAGAACTGTTGATCCGACCAATTTCTCGCAGCAGGAGCTGCAACAGTTTCGGACGGGTTGTCTCGAGGGGAGAGAAAGAAGGCCAGGGAAGCGGGTGGAAATGGTCAGGTATCGTCATCACGTGGATGACGAATGTCCGTGTCACTCAGGTTTTGAGAGCAAGCCTCACTTCTGTCCTTTGTCCGGTTGAATCTCACTGGTCATGTGCACACCGCCCCCTAGGTGGTCCTTACCTCAGTAAGGTAGACGGCAAGTAAGGTAGATAGCCTCAGTGTGGCTTCAACTTATGAGGTGATTACACATGGAAAGCACGCCGCAACGAGCAGGGCAAGTAAACACCGTAGTGGGCAGGCGCCGTACCTACTTGAAACCCAGGCAATTTCTCCTAGGTAGAAACTAAATGGCAATGGGAAAGTGCAGTTCCATTGGCAGTGGGTAGTTGCCTTTGGAAGCGAGCAAGTTCAATGGCAGGAATCTACGGTAGGCCCGCATAAAATGTACCCACTTGAACTGGCACCGGGCACCCTCTGGGCAACTGTCTACTCTCAACTGCGCTTCCGACTGCGCTTTCAGTTCCCCACCCTCGATCAGGCTAGGTACTTCCTTCCACCTGTGATCATCCGGGCACGTACTCCCCCGCTGGGCATCTTCCAATGAGATAACGCATCAGAGCTTGCCTCCGAGAGCCGCCAGCTGTGGCCCACGACATCATCCAATAAGCCAGAAGGGAAGGAGTCTCGGACATGTCCTTCCATCTCAGAGTGTCGGATTGGAGGTCCAATTCGATCCCGAGTGACCATTCAACTTACGGTTGGAATCTCTCTTTTAAATCACTACACAGAATCAATCAATCTCTCCGTCGTGGCTGGAATTCGACGCCTTGAGCTGGGGAGAGCTCATTCTCCGGCAAATGACGTTTGACATGATGAAGCTCTGGGAGGGAGATGGGACAGCCACTTCTGCCAAGAACATGGCTCTTGAACTTCTCGGTGTAATGAGTGCTGCAGTCTCCAAGCTTCGCTCACACGTTCGTAAGGTCACTTATTCCATGGATGGAAGCGATTCCAACGAGTTATCGCGGTACCTGTCTGAGCCTGAAGGTGATCCCCCCCTCTTCATCTTATATCTTGACGGGTCAGTTCAGCTAACCAGCCCACGAAAGGTAATTTCATTACGACCATTCCGCAATCATCTACTAGTCCGTCGCTCAAGATGTTCGCAACATTACTCACGTGCTGAACTACGACTACCCCAACAACTCGGATAACTATATCCATCTCGTATGCTCGTTCTTTGGTCTTGCGGCCCGCTGCTTAGGTTGCTCGATGTCTTCTGGAATCATCGTACGGTGTGTTAACATGCGCGACGCCCGTATCTGGTACCTCCCATCTTTGGATTGCCTTTATACGAATGATCTCCTGACTTAAAGGCAGACGTAGTACGGATGTTGTGGTTAACCCATAGTAACACTCGGAACGAACAATACACGGCTCGTCTGGAGCCTGCAATGCTCACTCGTCATGCCTCCATCAAGGCGACAAATCAAGTATCAGGGGTGGCATTCCCAAGGCATAGCACCCCTGGTTGTAATATTCCGAGCCTCATTTACAACACATCTTCTTTTCTCCTCTATCTTCGGCCTACGAGCAGCACAGCGCGACGTTTCCATCCCAGCACGTAATAGTGGTGTCGACTGCGCTGTAGAAAAGCAGCGCAGCCTCATGTCGCCATCTTCTACGTCACAGAAGATGTTGAGGAGGCTGTTAGAGGTACCTTGAGTGCTGCGTGGAACTTCATGCAAAGGCATGCTGTGCCTAGCATTCTCATCTCAAACGACGAGGTCTACCACCAACTTACTGCAATGTGGGACGACAGGATCAACCAGCACGCTATGAACATCTGCGTGGAGTCTTCAGGATGACAAGGGGATATCGAAGCAAGAAAGAGCAGCTCAAATGTATGTACAGTGCAGGGAGTACAGGTCGAAGCAGGGGCAAATTTTGGTAGTTCATCTCTTTGACTCAAACAGCATTTGGCCTATGTGAGCTTCCTCTGTGTCGTACGCCTACTTACAGGAGGAGTCGCTTAACCGCTCAGTCCTTCTCTTAAGCTCTCAATCAATCTGGCCTCAATCGAACGTCCCGCATCGTACAGATCAGAACGTCGTGACCTCCCAACGGGCCTTGCAGGCAATTACGTCTCGGCCGGTGGCGGCTCCTAACATTTGGACAAGTATGGAATAGGTCACGCTCGATCTCCTCCCGCAAGTGAGGGTCATTGATGGTCGAGTGGACAATGCTTCGGAGGCTTTGGTACCGGAAGTTCGGGGGGCATGGGTGTGGAAGATCAATGTTGATGAGGTTCTATACACGACGCGGAGCTTGAAGCGGGCATGGAGTGGTGTCAGTTCTGGCACAGCGTACGACAAGACTGTGTCGAAATGTTCTTTGTCAAATAGAAAGAAGGTTAGCAGCGGGAACAAGGATGAGGATGACGATGATGATAATGACCAAGAGGATAGCGACGACGATGGGACGGACGATGAGGACGCGGAAGACGATGATGGCACTAATCAGAAAGGGGAAGGAAGGCAAAAAGGAATGGCAGTGGAGGGAAGTCTGGGCTACTGAAGGTTGTGGATAATGACAAGGACACGGCAGCTATGAGGCTAGAGAACTCGGCATCGTAGGTGTTTATCAATATACCACCGACGCCTCAGCATTCAATTGTCCGGCTGCCGTGACTGCCGGGGTGGGCCTGATTCTCGCCCTGAAGCGTTGGTGGGTGCTTTGGCTGCCTAGTCGGTCGGTCGTTTGTATGGAAAAGCGAGCTGATGCCAAGCGTGGCGGCCAACCTTGTGAACTTGAGGTGGCTCATTGGGTTTTGAGAGCACGGCGTACACTGCACACGAATCAGCAAGGAGCCCAATGCGAGGAATGATCTTGTAGTTTGGTTGCTGTCTGGGTACGGCGAGAAATTGTCGAATTCTGGCACTAGTGATACAGTCTGACAATGTCATGAAATGCGAGGCGAGGCGGGATGGCGTCGAAATAGACCGGATAATTGGGACAACGGTGCCTGGAAGAGCTACAACTGATGAACAGGGCATTAGCCTGGGCGGCAGCAAAGAATTCAGGCATCTCCGAGGAAGAGATGGAGGCCTCACCACCTCCGATGGGAATGGGGGAAATCCGGAATCAATTGCTTGGAGGACTGTGTACGGGAGCCTGGCTTTGGGAGGGTAAGTCGCGACGGCTTGTGGAGATGACAGACTCTGAAAATTGATATCATTGATTATGTGTCGGGAAGAGTGGGCGATCCCTGCTTGCTTCTGGTCAGTATCTGAGTTCAATGTGCGCAGGATGGGTTTGGTCAGAGAAGTCCTATCTCGCAATTTGAAGTCGGCAAATAACTCGAGGCAAGCTCGAAGAAGCAAGTCTGTAGAAGAACCTGGTGTCTTGGATACACCTAAGGAGGAATTTACAGTGTCTCGGCTGTACGTTAGTCGATACCAAAAATGCATCGGCTCTCGATCATGGCCCAAGCCACCCGGGTCTTGTCTTCATCCTGCATTCATACCAAGGCAATTTCTACAGTCCATCATCGCCGTCAACATCGCTTTTTCGAATACCTTGACTGACCTAGTGCAGTGCATGGTCGACAAGCAAGCTGCTGGAGAGAAGCCAACGCGTAGCCGGCCAGACATTTTTCGCCCAGAACGTTCCTCGACCTAGCCGAGAAGGCCAAGGAAAAACCCCGCCAAGGCTGCCAACGTCACTGATGCCAATGTCGATGCCCGACTTGCCATCTGACGTTGCCTCATATGGTCCTGCTCGGTTTCTCTTGGATCAATGCATGCCAAGTGCGCACATTTGGCGCGCGTCTACCTTACCTACCTTGGGTAGGTACATAGATAACGGAGATGCGATACTGCAGTGGCGCTACCTAGGTAGGAGTCAGTCCAGGCCGTCAGAATGGGCCACGTCAAGTTTGGCGCGTGATGTGTGGTCCTGAGGCTGCCGCCTTGGACCCGGGCAGAACCTCGGGAGCACCTTCTCATGGGCACTTCAATCGCGCCTGACGCTTGCGAGGTTGGGATAAGGTACGCGCTAATTGAACAAGGTTCGGGGGCTGGTCGACTACCCTATCCTGCCCGAGGTGGAGTGTGCCCTGGCACCTGGTAGGTACCCATTGGAAAATGTGCCAACTGGGGCAGTTTCATGGTTGGCGCCGTGCTACGCCTCTCAGAATCTAGTGGAAGTCACCGAGGTAATACCAGAGACACCATGGTCTTGGATTCTGGGCAGTCGGAAGAAAACGTGGACCTGGAAGGCGGTCTGAGGTGGGCCACACAAACGTCCCTTCCACTTACATACTGGATACTCCTGCAGGACCACGTCAAGACGAATCGTGGGCTTTGCCTACTTCTTCCTTCTTCCACTCCCATACACAGCAAGAAACACCACTTTGTTAACCCTTCGTGCCAATCAAACGGCTGCCGTGCTGATATAGATATCGACACATAGAGTGGGTACGTCTGACATCTGAAAGTTGACTTCAGATTTGGATTCTCCCTGCTCAATGGGGCCATCTGCCCTTTTGCACTTTGCACTTCATGTTTCCTTCAGTCACGTCCTTCAATATGCATTTGTACACACATGTTTGTTATTGACAACAGGTGTCAAATATTAGTACCATTCTCCCTCGTCCCAAGAGGCTGCCTCACCGAGCGCCCAACAGCGCATTCCCCTTCTCGCGTGGTTGTCGTTCCCAGATCCAGGCGTTGCCTGTCACATCTCCTCCCGTTCATATATATCCCTCATGGACCAAAATGCATCATCATCACGATGACAGACATGGTTTTCAGGTAGGTCAGCAGCCTCCCATTTTCTCATGACAGCATCTGACAGCCTTCCAAAGAAAAACCAAATACCCCTGAATTAGTCCTGTTCAAAGAGGCATCACCCAAAAAAAGCATGATGCAGCAGCGGAGACTTGTCGAGGACAGCGTCGAGGACAGCAACGAGGACGGCGACGAGGATTCCAACGAGAATGCCAACGAGGATGCAAACGAGGACACTAACGACGACGCTCCTGTTGCCCATACTACCCAACTCAATTTGCCCCTCGTATTCTTACCACCGATTGGCCGCGAGCTTCACTCTATCTGTTTCCACTCTCCTGACGCCTTCACCTTCGTCTGCGTCTGAATTCCAGCAATATTAACAATGTCCCCCTCGACAATAATGACGATGATAATGATGGGATTCTTTCGGAGGGCAGCAGCAAGCTTTCCGGCGCCTATGTCGATACTAGCCCCAATCATAACTCTCTCGTCATGGCCACCTGCGACGCTATCGTTGTTGCATCTTTCGACACGTCTTCGGGCGCATCTGCTTCGCGCTGTGTTTTGCCCGCCGCTCTCATTCTTGTCATAATTTCTGCTCCGCGATCGTTCTCAAGTTCCCCACCTCTATACGATACTCCAGACCATTCGACACTTCCACAAAAGCAGGGATAGCAGAAATCGTCTTTCGTAATCTTGTGGATATTGTTCAACCCTATGCAAAGTTCGTTCGGCTTCTCGACAAGCTAAACAAAACGACCCTCGATGCCATCTAGCGCGACCTCTCTGAGCTCTGCCTCGCCGGCGTGGGCCTAAGCCATTGAGCCCGCATCATGTTACCGAGTCGTGCACCTTCTCGAGAATGCCAACGCCCGATTATCGCAAATGTCGCGAATTTTCGTCGGCATTTTCTCGCAAAAGGTGTCCGCAATCCCGTCTGTTCTGAATGCAACACTTCTTCCCATGGCCCCCGCCGTTGACCGGCGCCAGGAATAGTATCAGATGACACATCCCGAGGGCGAAAGCGAAGACGGCGACAGTTGGAACCAGATAGTCGAGGGTATTTTCCATCCCGTCATCTCGCAAGTACCAAACCGGTGGGACGACCACAACTCCGTCGCTACACCATCACGCACAACCACGGAGTCCCTGCTGGAGGTACGCAGTCTGGAAGACGGTGTGAGTTCAATGTTCAAGCCAGCTATGTTCCATGAAGATCTGAATATCTTGTAAGTGATGCTTATTTCACTACATTGACTGTTTGCGTCAGAGACTGACCGCAAAATTCGCTCGGCGCTAGCTTTGCCCAAGACGTACTCTGAGCCCTCGACCGACTTTTTGACCTCCTCGTTTCACGTCGCCATACCCAGTTCACTTCATGCAAAAAGAAGCCGTCATTCCGTCTTCATCCAAAACAACGGCCCAACCCACGGATACTATTCTTACCCCACCTTGCCGACCTAATCTTGCTTACCTTACTTATTAATATCCCTATTATAGGGTAGTTAGTTCGAACCGTAGGTTAATAAAAAGATTAATTAAATTATATAAATATTTATATAGTAAGTATAAAAAGGAGGTTCTAACTATAAGTTAAGTTAGCTATAATAATTATAAATAGGGCCTCTAATTAGCCCCTATATAGTCGGCTATATACCGTAGTTAAATTAAATTTCTAATCTAATACTAATTTTCTTTCTTTTTTATTAATTTAATTATTATAGTTAGAAATATAATTTAACCTCGGGCCCGTTTACTAAGTTATCTTTTTTTTTTTTTTTTTTTATATAACCTATCCCTCTATTTATATAATAACTTTTTTATTATTTATAAATTACTTTAATCCCTTATTTAGTACTACTTTTATAAAAATATTTACGAAGTTATTTTTATTATTAATCTAATAGATCTCGAGTATTTCGCGCTTTTTATATAATTACCTAAGGGCTATAATATTAATTATAAGCCTCTTTTTTTTTATTATTTTTAATTTAATAAAGTATTTATATAGCGAGTAAGAATTAGTATTAATAACCGTTAAAATAAGTAAAAAGCTAAGTTAATTAGTAATTTTTTTAGTATTATTAAAATTATATATAAGAGGTTAACGTTATTAATTATACTATAAACCTCTAATATTAGTACGCTTCTCATTATTCGCTTATTTTTAGTTAATAAGTAGTAAATTATATTATTATATATAATAAATTCGCTCTTATTTATACTTTCGTTAGCTAGGATAATAATATACTTTAATTATAAAATAAGGTTATTATTATTTATAAATAACTTATTAATAAAAACGTAAAGCTTATTAATTATAAAATTAATTAGGTAATAAACGAGGCCTTAATTAAGATTTATTTATTATTATTTAAGTTACTTATTAAGTATTTTAATATTTTATTTAGTTAGATTTATAACTTATACTACTTTAGCATAGTTAAAAATTACTTCGGGCTAATAAATATTTATAATATATACTCTTTATATAAGCTTAGTTTTATATTACTTTTTAATATTAGCTATATTTAAATTAACGAGGTTAATCTTTTTATTTTACCCTTTTTATTAAAAAATAATAGTTTTTTTTTTTAATTATAAGAATCTTATTATTAAATATTAGGGGGTTATTTATTATAAGGACCTTTTTTAGTTTTGTTATAAAGCCCGCTTTTTAGAGCTCCTTATTTTTTTTTTTATAAAGTTAATATTAAATAGGTTTAATATATTATTAGTTTATATTCTAATAATCCTAAATTAGTTATTTTTATACTTAAAGATTAATAAGTACGGGTCGTACGTAGAGGTAACTATTAATAGTTAATTAATATAGAAATCGTAATAAGTAACTTATTAATAAGTACTCGATTTTACGAGCTTATATAGTAACTTAAGTATTTTAATAATCGTACTTTTTAAGTACTTACTAGCTATTTTTTTTAGTAAATGGGCTAGGATTTCTTTTAGAAGCCCTATAACTAATTAGGTATAGGCCTAGGTAATATTATAGTTCTAAATCTTATATTCCTTTGTTTATAATAATATTATTAATATTATTATTAATCGTTAATTATAGCGCTATATAATAAGTAATTATATAAGTAGTATCGCTTTTTTAATATTATTATACCCCTAAATTATATATCTAAATTTCTTATATAGCTAGGGTATTCTTTTTTTTTTAATTTTACGAACTATTTACGATTTAAATATACGAAGGTTTATATATTTTTTAAAGTTATAGAGGATAAATCGATAGACCCCTCGATTATAAAGAGTATTTATTTTAATAAGATCTAATCCTTTATACGGCTTTTTAGTAATTATAATTACGTCTTTTTTACGTAATTTAATTACTAATTTACAATTAGCTTTTCTTTTTTATTATATAAAAAGTATTAATTACCTCGTTATTAATAATAAATTATTACGTTAGGGCTTATTATCGTAGTTTTTTATAATATCTTATTAATAGGATTAGTACCCTTTTAATATATTTTTTTTTTCGTTATTTATTAATACTATTACGATAGTTTCGTTAAGGATAATGTTTTATACTTTTATTATAGGTTATATAGTTTCCCTTAGTTCTTTTTTTTTTATAAGTTAGAAATTACCTCGTTAAGATTTATATAATACGGTTTAATTATTATAATTAATATTTTAAGTAGCTAATTACGATTTTTTATAACTACATAAGAGCGCTTATTAACGGAAATTAACTTATATAGCCCAGCTTATTATTAAGTAATTTTATATTATATTTGTATATTCGAATTTAATAGTATATTTAAATTACCTCTTATATTAGGCCTATTATACGTAATAATTACCTTATTAACTTATTTTTTTATATTTACTTTATATAGTACTTATATTATTTTTTTAATTACTCGGGCTCGTTAATTTATATTTAGTAATAATAGCGAGGCTAAGGTCGTTCTTAAATATATTTTAAATATTAATAGTTTTAGTATAAGCCCGTTAGGCCCTATAATATTATTATAATATTTAAGTACTATTTAAAAGTATTCGTTATTAATAAAATTAGGATTTTCCTTTTTAATAATTTTAAACGCCCTTTTTAGTTATTAATATACTCTTTTAACTTTTTTAATACTATAATACGCTTTAATAAGTACGACTTTTAGTTATATATTATAAGCTATTATATTTTTTCTAAATTTTACTAACTTAAAACTAATACTAGCGTCGGTTTTAATACTATTTAATAATCTCTAATATATATTAATCTATCCCTTTTATAAAGCTACTTATATTATTTTTATTTATAGATCCTAAAAGAATTACCCTATTTAAAAAAATATAGTTACGTTAATTATATATAAGACTAGCCGACTATTTAAATAGAAAATATTAATAACAATTTTTTAATTAAAATTAAGCTTATTATATAATTTAAATTTAAATCTGCGTGGGCTTTATATATTTATTTAGTATTAATAATATACTTTTATTAACTACTTTAGCGCCCCTATTTTAATATTATTATTACTTAATTATTTTAAAAGGTTATATAGTTTTATAACTAATAGGTACTTAAATCTCTAATATAATTATCTAAGCTTATTTTTTATTAAATAATTAATTAATTTTAAGTCGTTAATAAGCTTTATAAACGTATACCCCTATCGTTATTTAACTATTTTAAAATACTTATTACTAAAGATTTTATTTCTTATATTATTAAATATAATACTTAGTTAATTTATATTTTTTAAGTATAAGAGAAATAGGGTATTAATAAGTAAAATATAAAAGGTTATCGTTCCGAAGTACGTTTTTATTTTTGCTATACTTAGGGTAACGATTTTTTTACTTAGGCCGAAGCTAATTTTTATAATACTCATTATTAACGTATTAAGTATTATTAGTACGATTTTTTATAGCGCTTAGAATTACCCTTTTCCTTTTATTAATTATTATAATATTTTAGTATTTAGGATAATCTTATAGAAATTATTTAGGCCGTACCTTTTACTCGTATAAAATACTTATACGAGCTTAGTATTTAAATAATTTAAGTAGTTTAAAAAGGACCCCTCTAATTACCCCTAGATTTACTTAGTATTTTATTTCTTTTTTTTAAATATTAAAAGAAATAGCGTTTTTTTTTTAAACGTTAAAAAAATAAACTTTGGCCTTATTAGAATTACTTTTTTAACTATTTTTATATTTATTATCTAAGGGACCTTTTTTTACTATTTATAAATAAAAGCTTATTTATTAAGAGCTTTTATTACCCTTTATTTATTTAGCTTTATATATCCTCTAAAAACTAACGGAATAAAAAAAGAGTAGTTAATATTATTAATTTTATTATAATTTAATTCGTTAGTA